CATTGATAAAATTTCGTTTTTTATTCTCTAGTATATACACACAAAATTTCGATTGAGTTGTATTTGAGTTCTAAATTGAATTGTCAAAAGAACTATTGAAGAAGTAAAACAATTGTGGACTATTAAAACATTTTCATTCGCGTTTCTCTTTCTTTTTGTTCTGACTTTATCTGACACAACGAAGTCGAGGGAATTTTTGTTTACGATCAACATATATAAGAAAAAAAAAAGAATAAGGTGAGCTTTCAGCTTTTTCTCTTCTTTTTTCTTTTTGAAATACTATGCTTTCTTTCTTTTTCTCTACCGGCATACACACAAATACATCAATCAATTACACAGCATGCTCAAACTGGATTTCGTTTTTTTGTTCCCATGTATACCGCATAACAGTGTGTAGTATTGTTTTCCTTTCATCAACGCCTACATTGTATGCTTCGATTGTGTCCTCGAAAAAAGGTTTATTCTCTTTTCTTTTTTATATAAAACGAAAACGCACGGAAAGAAAGGAAACGAAAACGCACTCAGTCTTCATACTTCCCGCTCGCATTTTGTATGTATGTGTATGTGCTTTGCAAAGAAATCAACAGACAAAAAAAAAAGAGAAGGAGAGAACAACCGAAAAAAAGAAGAACGAGTCTTCAATAGCTAAAGAGTGCATACACGGATGCTTGATGACGAGGACTGATGAAAGAAATACGAACGAATTGCATGCATACAAAAAAGAAGAGAAAAAAACCAGATGGATATTAGATTGATAGTGATTTAAGAAAAGAAGCATCTTTTGATTATTCTTTTAAACCAGAAAAAAAGAATATGTGCACATATATGCTTAATACATAATCCAAGTGGAAATAACGAAAAAATGTCAGCATTGGAATAGTTACAGGGATGTAACCGTTTTCAGTTTTTTTTTCTTCTTCTTCTTCTTATTGTTGTTGTTGTTGTTGTTATTATTATTGTTTTTTTTGTCATGTAGCTATCGTCACAAATCTTTAAAAAAGAATCGAAAAAAACCGAAAAGAAAGCAACCCTGTGCGATGAAAAAAGAGAAAAAAAGTGGGAGAGAAAAAATGTCATTCCGGAACATACGCAACGACGTTTCGAAAGTTCCGGGTTGGCTGCTTTGTATTTGTTCTGTGTGAGAACGAAAGTGCGTTGCTACCTCTCTATTAATGTTACTATTATATTTTTGATCACAAGAAAAAAAAAGACGTCGAAATAGGAAATAAATATTATCGTGATCGTTTTGTACTAGAAACAAACGAAGAAATGACCAGGTAAATTAGTTTTCATTCTTGATTTCCATTGAAGTTCTATCAACATGCGTAAATTATTCGATTGCTTTAATAGAACAAAACAAATACATTTCGTTTACTTGATCGCTTCTTTTTTTTTTCTTGTCTCGTATATCAAAAATATTATTGCCTTGAATGAATGAATATATCAATGGACATATTATGTAAATGTATAAAAAAAAAAATATATATATATGTATATATACATATTTCTATTTCATGTTTTTGATTAATTTTAGTTATATATAGACTAAACTTTTCTTTTTTTAATTTTATCTATAACCTAGTTAATGTATCTATGTGAGCAATAAATTAACCGATTGATACGATCGATTCCAGTTCTATTGAAAAATATCATAAAATGGTTTGTATCATAAGATGTGCATCATCATAATGATTGTTGTCGTATGACTCATCTGTATGTTTCCTTGCTTCTTATTCTCTTCTACATGCTGCGCCATTCTTGTGCACATACTCTTATTTTCTTATCACCTTCATCATAAAAGTGACTCTGCAAGCAAACCTATCTATCTTTTGAGATGGTAAACAGAATAAATAGTCTTCTTACAACGTAAATCAACTTTCGACTTCTATCTTCTTATCTTCCGCGAACAGGTTAACTATTCCTTTTTTTTTCTCTTAGTTGCCTTCCGTCAAGGGCATATCTTCTCTTAACGCTTTTTTTTTTCTTCTCATTTTTTTCTTCACTCTTTTAAGTCGTGTCGCATTTCCATTCACTAGACGGGAACATTAGAATTCAAGCGATACATAAATCAAATGAAGCAAAGCCAACAACGATCAAATTCATAGCCTGTAAAATGGAAATTTTTACTTGACTATGACTACTTTACAATTTATTCTTTTCTTCTTTTTTTTTTTTCTTTGTTCATTGAAAAGTACAACAGTCGTCTATATGTATACATATACATACATATATACAGATACATATAAATTGAACAGCCTTTATGAAGGGCGTCGCTTATTTCTTTTTCACCTATATTTTGTTCTTTTTCTTCCGATTCGGACGACAGGATATAGTAGTTGTATATTTGCATATAAGAAAAATTGAAAACTTATAACATATGAGCGATATATTTTCGACAAGAGTCCATCTAGGTCAATGATCACATGATGATGGTGATTATGATTTAAACAAGAGGATGGTTGTTTTGACCTATTTTTCTTTTATTAGGTTGTGTATTGTAAACGAAAGAACAAAAAGAAAACTGTTGATATGATCATAGTCTTTGCATTAGCACTTCTTCACACACACACATACACACACAACGTAAAGGAGAAATAGAGATTAACGTAAATGCGCGCAATCGATCGACTGATGTTTGTCGTCGGTCTTATCAGCGTCATCATTGCTCGCAAACACCTGCTGATCATATACACATATGCTCATCTTCTAATTGGGTCGATTACTAGTCACAATCTGTGATTGAAAGATTGCATCTTAATGTTGATAATGGATCTCTTAATGATGATTGTTTAGTATTGTGTGACGTGACAATGGTACCATAGCTTAAACATGACAATAAGACGAAAAAGAAAATAGAAGGAGGAGAAGTTCAAGAGAGACGAGACGAAATTTTTTTCTTTTATGTTTTGTTCCGGTCACCTCCATTCATGCACTTCACATTGAGAAAATTACACATAAGACTACTACTACTACTATAGTGCTCGTTCTCATTTTGAGGTCACCGAGATAAAGACCGAAATACGTATATATATATATGTATAAATGTATGCTGAGTGCATTGGTGCGGATATCGTTCAACACAATGAATTTAGTATGAACGAGAAAAGAAAGAAAAAACGAAAAAATTTGTTTTATTTTATATGCCGTTTCGGACCTTCCTCTTCTCTGTCTGTCGTCGTCTCGACAGGTAGAATGGATGGATGATGATGATGGAGGGGGAAAAGAGAACAGAACACAAGGCCAGTACATATATATATATACGTGTATATGTTCAAAAAGCGACTTGAAATTATTCCTTTTCTTTTCTCATCGCAGACTGACCGAGAGGCGGCAAAGGCATTAAAAAACAGAACAATATATGAGAGTGAAAGAGTAAGAGAGCGAACGGGATATGTCCTTTGCTGTGAAAGAGTAGTGCTCTTGAACTTCCAAGGTAGACGACACCAACCTAGACAGTAAAATCAAAAATAATGGATCTCTCTTTTCTCTTTGTCTCTCTCTCTCTCTCTCGTATTCTTTCTGCTTGACCCACAATAAACTTTCGAAGGAAGGAGGTCATTTTTGAGTGTTCACTCTTTCTTTTAAACAACAGAAAAAGAATGCTGTAAGTATAATCAAGACCAAATAACTTAAGATCCCTATCTTATTCCATCAATCATCATGTCTGTCTGCCTACTGGCACTTCCCTGAACTTGCCTTTTCTCGTTCTTATTCTCACATTGTTATTCTTCATTCTAATCAAAAGAAGGTTGTCCAATAAATAGATCTGCTTCAGACTAGTCATCCATCTTCAATATAATATATAACGAATCAACCAGTTAACAATAAAAACATATTGAATTTGAATTCGTTTCTTTTTTCAATGACTAAAAAATCAAATAAAATAGGTTTTTTTTTCTTGATATCAACTATTTTCATCAATATATATATATACTACATTTCTTCTATACTTCAAAATATTCTTGTACATTGTCTATCTTATAATTTTTTTATCTTTCTATCTCTTTACTACGTAAAAAATGCACGGAAGTTTATACTCTTATAAAAATAACTATATTGAAGGTGACAAAGTGCATTATTTCTTTCATTGTACGTCACATATACTAAAGACCAGATATATAAATATATGGATGTTTTACTTGAAAAGAATAGGCTCATACAGAATAGAAATGATAAAAAAAATATATGTAAAAATATATGTATGTCTCTGTTGTTAAATGCATAATATAGACGTCATTTTTATTCTTTTTTTTTTTTGTATTTTTCGCCTTGATCGAATCTTTCCCATTGTGTCTATAAATAAGCATCCCTATTATATGATAGTCCAATTTTTTCTTTCCGTATGCATACTATGCATTCATAATGTATAACTTATTGCATCGAATCTTTTCCTTCACCTACTTATTCATTCGTTTCTGTCTTTTCTCTCTCTCTCTCTTTCTTTGTGTCCCTCTCTAATATCTATCGCATCTTGATCATATTTCGTTTTTGTATTCTTCATTACACAGGAAGGAAATTTTAATATGTATACATAACTAGTTTTCGGAAGTATTAGTAGATAAATTTTCTCATGGCATTTTTTTCGAATCGTTTTTCTTTTTTCTGCTTTTTTTTTTTGTCATCATAATAAAAGTAATAGGTAAAAGAAAATGAGAAGAGAGCGAAAGTACGAGAGAGAGAGAGAGAGAGAAAAATGTGTCGTTCGTTATCGAGGGTGCGATGACCATATTATCAGGTGCAACATCGTCGTCGTTGCCTGCTGCTATCTTTCGCGCTTCCTTGTGTATATATACAGAAAAGGAAGGATAAGATGATGCGTGTTGCACCGTGCATTACTGCTCCTTTCTGTTTTTCTTCGTTTTTTTTTTTATATTTCTCTTAGCTCTTCTCTTTTTTTCGTTATATATAAATGTGTGTGTAGACAAGAACAAACCAGAGTCCATTTGTTTATTTGTTTCCTTCTTATTTATAGCATGGTAGCGCATACAGGGAATTCGACGATGACCACTACAACTAATACTACTATACCAACAAATAATTATTTATCATCAACAATTAAAATGAATTTACCTCAAAATTTACGTATGTTAATTTTTGAAAATAAAACAAAACAAAAAACAAAAAAAAAACTTTATTAACGATTTATTTTAGTACATCCAATTGATTTTTGGTCTAAACATGATGTACAAAAATGGATTGAATATTGTATTGATGAATATTCATTAGGTGATGTTAATTTAAGTGATTTTCAAATGAATGGTTAGTTCGTTTTTTTCTTTGTTGTATTGAAATAGTAAATTTTAAATTTCTGTTTTTTTTTTTTATTATTTTATCTATAAAGGTAAAGCATTATTATTATTGAATGAAGACAGTTTTAAACAACGTTCTCCACGTTCTGGTGATATTTTACATAAAGCTCTTCAACAACATAAAGCTATGCTTAAATCATGGCAATGTCAAGGTTAATTTTTTTTTTTTTTTTATTAATGACAATTTCTTTTGAAATAATAATTAAATTAATATCTATTTTTCTTATAGCATTTCCATATCAATTATGGAATAATTTTGGTTTTCCACCTTCACCATCATCAACACGTCGTTATAATATTCCTCCTCCTCCACCAGTTCCATCACTACCTATGTCATCATTTCATCCAAATGCTGCCGGTGTACTTCCACATTCAGCTGCTGCGGCTGCTGCTGCTGCTGCTGCTTGTATGCATCCAGCATTTAATTATATATTTAGTCGTCCTGAAACAATACCAAAATCATCTTTAATTAATCATCCAACAAATTATTTTCATTTAAACCAACAACAACAACAACAACAACAATCAACACGAAATCGAGAAATATCAGCTTCATCATCATCATCAACATCATCTTATTGTCCAGATTTAACATCAGGTTTGTTTGAATAAAAAAAAAAAAAACATCAAAATTTTATTTTTCTTGTCTCTTCTAGCTAAAATTTCACATAAATTACATGAAAAATCTGATGTTAATCACCCGGTGCATGAATCGATAGGTATAAAACGTGAAGCATTATCACCTGGCATTCAGCAATCAAATCGTCAGCCAACACCAAATAGTTCACCTATGACAACAAGAATTGTTAGTCCATCAATAAAACAAGAAACATTAGATGATGAAGATGTTGATATTGAACAACATGAAACTGTTCCAACACCACCTATAACATCAAGTTCACCATCATCATCTCCTCAATCATCATCATCAGGTTTATCAAAATTAAATATATTAAATAATCAATCAATACCATATAAAGTTCGTTCACATTTATCAACAAGAATGAAACATCAACCAAATGATGTAACAAATACAGGTGAAAATAATCATGATTTAGATGGAACTAGTCTTGCAAATGATAATACAAGACAAATACGTTATTATCATGATCGAATTGATTTTCGTGGTGATATTTTAATGAAACCACCAGCAGCAAAAAGTATGACTTTCTTATTTTTTCTTTTTTTGTGTATTTATAATTGATTCTGCTTTTTTTTCTTCTTTCAAGATTGTCGTATTCTATGGGAATTTTTGTATATTTTACTTGAAGATCCTCATTATGAATCAATTATTCATTGGGAAAATCGTGAAAAAATGATTTTTCGAATAATTCAAGCGGATAAACTTGCTGCTCTTTGGGGTATGTATATCTAATAAATTATTAAAAATTAAATACTATAGTTGTAAGAACTACTACTATTCGATAAAAGAATACATAAGCTTTCATCCTTTTACTTGATATTTGAACTTAAAGAATAGAACTCGTTAAATCCTGATCACAAGCAGCAACTTAAAGTCGATAGATCTTATTGCAAAGGATTTATGATAAAAACATTGTTTTTTTATTTTGAGACTCAAAAAAAAAAAAAAGAGTCTTAGCTGGTTTTCCATTGTTTAAATATGTTTATCTCTATTTTCTTATAGATTCCTATGTCTATATTATGTCATAGATAGTTACATTTCTACAATTTCCATCAATTCTTATGTGAAGACTACTTCATAAATCAGACAAATCAATATTGTTTGACATACAATTTTTATTAGTGTATAGAGAACATACTGAGCTTTTGAATGAGCAAATTTAATTTCTGAAAAATTTCTGAATATATTCTTGTATAAAAAAGAATCTTTGTTAACCGACTATCTCCTTCGTATGAAGGCTGATCAAACCTTGATTTGTCCTTCAGATCAAAGTTCGATATGCTCTATTTATGGTCACAATATAAAACTAAAAGATTAATTTGTACGGATATTTTTTTTTCTTTTATCAGGTAGTAGAACTTTTCACAAGTGCTGTAATCATTTCATTTTAAAAATTTTTCAATAAATACTTTTTTTTTTCTTTATTTTAGGCCTTCAAAAAAATCGTTTATCCATGACTTATGAAAAACTTTCACGTGGTATGCGTTATTATTATTCAAATAATATTATATCAAAAGAACAATCAAAACGATTACTATATCGTTTTATGCGTTCACCAGATGAAATTCGAAAAAGTATGAAACGTACTGGTGGTACAACAAATATGGTTTATTCAAATTTAAGTAAAAAACCAACACTTTCATATCAATCAACAGCTAGTCCTGATATTCAAGAAACTAATATGAAATATAATCCAGGTAAAATATTTCAACGAAAAAACAAAAAAAATTGCAACTTTACTAATAAATATATAATTATATTGGTTTTTTTCTTTTTGATTTTAGACAATGATGATAATTCATCATCAACAACTTATACAAATCAATCATCAACATCAATACATCCGACTTTATATCAATTATTTTCAATTTATTCACCATCTCAAACATCAATGGTATCGAATTTAAATTCAAATACACCTTTATTATATAATTCACGTAATGTTAATAATAATAATTCATCATCATCACCATCTAACATTCCATCATTTGATACAAAACCATTACCATTATTAACAACAATTGTAAAAAGTGATCGATCAAATTCATCATCACCAGATTCATTGGATAGTAGTCGTGATCGTACAAGTGACAGTGAAAAACAACATTGTAGTCCATCTCAATCATTATCATCATCTACATCAACATCATCATATTCAACATCAACAAAACGTAAACAAGCTGTTCCATTATCATTAACAGCTCGTCTATCTCATCAATATCATCATTTAGAACAACCACTTAATTTAACTGCTAATAAAGAAGAACATACAATAGGAGATTGTAAGAAACAAAAAGTTATGTCACCTCCGTCCATTGCATGATCGAACAGTTTTCTTATATTTTCTTCCTATTTTTTTTGGAACAGTCGAATACACTATGCCATTCTATATACACATTTTAAACATCATCTTTTCTTTTTTTCTGTTTTTGATTGTTTTTTTGTATAAAATCTATTGTTAGGCCAGTAGAGCTGTAGATCAGTGCGTGTGCATCATTATTCCATATCGTTTGTTTCTTTTCTTTTTGTTTTTTTCCACCATATCATATGCACTATGTGATAAGAAACATTGTCTAAAAGAAAACAGGAAAATCAAAACTTTTTTTTTTTTTTCTTCTTTTTGTACATTCCGTGTGCTTGATTTATTTCTTGTGTCTTGTTTTGGGTGCTGATTGCTTAAGATGAAACTTCCTCTTTTTTTTTTTCCATTTGATCGTTGTGTTTTTGTTTATGTATCTATGTCCACATGATGGATGGAAACATCCGCCTGAAAATAGAAACAAGAAAAGTGTATATTGTAGTTCATACTCGTCTGTTTGTTTGTTTTTTTTTGCCTATATTGTTTTCTTTTCTTTTTTTTCTAATCAGGTTGTTATCATGGCTTTCTTTTTTCTTTATTCTTTTTTTTTTTTCTTATGCATATTGCAAACATAATGAAGTCTTCCCGAGTTTTGATCAACGTCTTTTTCTTTTGTTGTTCTTTTGCTATTTGAACATGTTCATTATTATGCCATAATGTTATTCACTTGATGATAATCAAAAGGATATATATATATATACTTGTAATTTCTTTATTATAAAATCAACAGAAATACGAGAGATTATTTTATTGAATTATTGATCATAATGTATACGGATGAATATAAGTTTAGAGCAGTTGTATGTTTGAGTTTTCTTCTTGATGCTGATAATTAGAAGGAATCTAGAAAAAAAAAACATTTGAATCGGTGAAAGAATTCTCTATTAGAATTCATGGACATAAAAACTTGAATAAAACTATTTGAATAAGAATGTCTGAAAAACCAAGAGGTTCCAAAAACAGTTTTCTGACATTCATAAACTTCGTTCAATTTATAGAAGGTCACAAAACATCAAACATGGCGAAATCATTAGAATTTTTTATAAAACTAGACGGAGAATGTTTCTTGGGTCATCAATATAAATTCAATATAATTCGATGAAGAAAGGTCTTGAAGAGAATTAAAATATCTCATTTTGTTCATTGTTTTTAGTTATTACTATCGGGAAAAGAATTCAAAAATATAATTATTCTAAACTTATGTTCGGCACTGTAAATAAGAATATATACTACGATTAAGTTATTACAATTAATATATGTCGATTCTTATTGAAATACATTCAAAATAAAATATCAAATATATAAAAAGAATAACTTGTATAAAATGTTAATTAATTATAGAAAAACTTCCTTCGAAACTGATGAATTGCGTTGTTTTCTCTTTTTTTTTTATTAAGTTTTATTACAAACAGAAGAAAAAAATTTCCGAAGTTATGATTTAGATTTAAGTTTAATGATTTTATAGTAGAGTGTAAAAACAACATTAACCTTCACATCTGATTTATTAAACTGTCGTTTTCGTTCTTTCTCTATTTCTTTTTTATTATGTTACGTTACGGTTGACTGTTTTTCTCCTTATATTTGTGAATAATAACGAGTAAATCGTCGTTTATTTTATAGAAAAATCTAAATAATCATTAATTTGGCGTATAACGTACGAATATTTTAAAGCAATGACAACGCCTCAATCTGAAATAAAACGTTATTTAGTTGAGGAAAAATATTTATCATTAGATAAGAGATTTACTATAACAGATGAATTGGGAAATATACTTTATAAAGGTAATTCAACATTCTTTGCAATAGGTGATAAACTTTTACTTACTGATGAAGATGGAAATGAAGCTATTAGAATTCGTCAACAAAATTTTCATACTCGTCTAACATATAAATTATTTTCTATTCGTGATGATGGTAATAAACGTCAAATAGCATTAATAAAAAGAATTGGTCCATTACGGCAACAGAAATTAGAAATTATTTCTGATGATGGTGAATATATATTACAAAAACAAGGTGGTCTATCCTCCAATGAATTTAATTTAACAAAAGATGATAATATTGTAGCAATTGTAATAAAAGATTCTTCACCTACAAAAAGTTTTTATTGGGTAGATATTATCGATAACAATGAAAATCATGCTTTTATATTAGCTATGGTAATTGTCCTTGCATGTGTACAACGTTCCCCAAGTAGTCATATTGTATTTTGAAGTGAAATCAACTACAAAATATACAACCTTCGATTTCTCTATATAATTAATAGTATTCAATTAATTATATACATATATATATATATTTATATGGCATAATATCAAAAGATTATTAAATATCATTGAAAATACATCGATTGCAATTTACGATGTATCTATTTATTTAATAGAAACATCAAAATTATGTTTTTATTGTACTTATTGTACTTCCTACAACAAATAGTTACATTTCTATCTCCTTGTATTATTATTATTATGATTTGAGAATCTAATAAATTATTTTACTAGATTATTTTTTCTTCTTTCTTTTTTTTTTCATAATGTGATTTAATTATTTTGTCAAATTGAAGGGAAAAGATTTTAATATTATAATAGCATTGATGTTTCTTTAAACATATATTGCTAAAATTTCTAATCGTAATTATTTTTAGAAACCATTTGAAATAGATAATGTAAATATATTTTCAAATAAGATAAAATATTAGGAAATATTCTTTTTTCATGATATTTTTTATGTTAAATGAAATAATATACATGAAAATGTATTATAGTAAATCAGAGTGTGACTGTGAATATAAAAAAGACCCACACTCAATCTTCTTCTAAATAGTCCACGAATGTAAATCGTCACTAACGAAAAATGCTAATAAGAATATATGTTTAATGTACTCAACGAACAGTTAATTCTGCGAAGTAAAAATTATATATTTTCAAGAAAAATAATTTAAAATTGACATATGATCAATGTATAGTAAAGGTTGTAAACTAAATATTCGATACCAACGAGTAATTGCAATTCTTTTCAAATAATGATCGATTTCGTATCTTCTATATACAGTATACTTAAAAACAAGGATTCGACAATATTATTTTTATATTGCACATCTATTAATTAAAATTAATTTTCTTTTTATTTAAATCTCAATATGTGTTAAATATTTGACAGTTTTCATCGTGTTCCGTTACATATGTAATTTTCATGATTAGTACTCGAACAACTTCCACAGAATTATTGTTGGACTTGAAATCAATGACATCGGACGTAGTAAAAAGTGTGGAAAGAATCTAATATTCAAATAGATAATTGTCATTCGAACTGTACTTTTGATTTTTGAACCATATTCTTATATATTTTTTTTCTAATAGTCTTCTTGCTATAGATGCCAACATGTATATTTACAAGGATATTTATCTTAAATGTAATGTTTGATTTGAGAAAAACAACTTAGAAAATAACTTTGAAGTGAACACATACATATTAATTTCGATTTAATGGGAAATATACTTTAAATAAGTTTTTTTTTTTTTTTGAAATGGACAAATCAAATCAAATACAACTTAGTAATATATGTATTAGAGAAGTGTTATTGTTGAAAAAAAATCTGTCTATTATTGAATTAGTACATAGTTCCTATAGTAACATGTTGAAATGACAATGATCAAGTATGGTAGTCAAAATTTTCAATATGCTTCTTCCTCTTAAAGATCTTCTTAATATCATCATTTGTTAATAGTGTCTGAGCGAACAAAAGAGTAGGCGGCTTATATGTTGATGGATATGTTGAGCCTATAATCTGGTGAAAAGAAAGACATTCTCAATATATGAATTGAATCAATATCGTGAGGTCGTACTTATATTCAATATATAATTAAATGTGAACGTGAATTTTGTTCAAACAACTTCATTATTGAAATTCGAAACCAAAAACGAAAAGAAAACAACGTTTATTGAATATTTAAAGCTGATGTATAAGAATCAATTGTGAAGATAATGTCTATTTGCATGATTAATAGAATATTCAATTATTGACATTGATTCTGTAAGAGTAACCATCAATTCAAGCAACAATCAATTAAAGAACGTGTCTAGAGATGACAAGCTTGATAGATTCTTTTTAACCAACCGTTGCTGAAAATGACCATGATAAAGAGAAACTATTTTCACAAGTCTTTGATTTCCTTTGCTAATATTGTAATCAATATAGAAATTGACATTGATAATAGCCTTGAATTCTTATTTACGTAGTATATAAATCACAAATGTTTTCTATCAGCATTGAAAGCCTTCTAAATATTATTAGAGAACAAAAGCTTTAAGTGTGAAATGACTACAATAAATTCTTCATTGAATATGAATGAACAATTGCAGACCGATTACAACATGATAACCGCCAGCAGCTAATGCCAAACAAGTTTAATAGTATATATACGCGAATGCTTACTGAACATACACATTATTTATGATATATTTGTTCGCATTTTCTTCTCCAGTTGATGTTGTTGTTATTTGCTATCGGTTCTTTTATATGTGTGCTCTTTTCTTTCTTACATCATCATTTTGTTCTTTAATGCATACTACCGTTTGTTCTATAACCACTGATCATTCCAGTATGTTTGCCATCTAAACAGACATATTGTATTCGAACGATGGTCTATTTTCTCTTCAACAGATCGCGTTCACTACTATAATAACTTATATCAGAATAACCAGACGTATCGTGATTGACATACCACACGCGCGTTCTATCTTACGACGTCATATTAGTTGGCTAGAGCAAGTGAGATAAGTTCATTTACCATCCTCTTTTTCTCTCTCTCTGTCCCTCTTTTCTTCAAGAGATATTACAGAATGATGATCAAGCAGACGTATATCGACGAAAGATTCTTCTTCTTTGCATTTCTCTTTATAGTTTTGTTGTTGAATCATTTGCTTATCATTATAGAGAACGGACAACGCATACATAATACATACATACAATAACTTGCATAATCATATTTGTGACTGGCTGTATATTTGGACCATACGTCACCAGGACATCGTTAAAAGAAGAGAAAGACGATATTTAAGAAAAAAAAATCAAACAAGTTACCCTTCTCGGTAAGTTACTATACGTAAACGTCGATCGTTTTGTATCGATATCTCCTGAGAGAATACAAGATAGACATAGTCAACGGCTGACAGACGATCTTCGGCCATGAAGCATGTAAGAGAAGGATATTCTCTGATGAGTATGTACTGAAACCTTGATCTGTCCTCTTTTTGGTATTCATTGATAGTTATACCTTAGTTCGATATTCTGGATAACAAGTAAATTGCGCGCTTCTAGCTTACTCTACTATACTTTCAGTTTTTTTTTGTCTACTTGTACGTTCGATTATCGAATGGCTGCGTTCGGTATCTCATTTCCTAAACTAACTCTATGTCGAACATCAACATCGAAAGTTGATACTAATACTGTTTCAACGACAACGACACCGACGACAACAACCCCACCACCAACAATAGTAACGACTGCTCCTCGAACTCTTTCCCTTTCAATTAAAAATGTACCAACTCAACCACTTCATTATGATATTTCAACAACAACAACAGCAGCAGCAGCAGCAGCAGTAAAAAAGAAACCAACATCATTTGCTACAATTCTTGCTATTGATGGTGAGACTAAACAATTACCTAAAACTTTATCTGTTTTCAACGAACTTCAACTTGATGATAATGATAATAAAAGTAACAAACATTCTTTATTTTTTTGTTATACAAACAAAAAAAGAAATATCCTTGTACATGTCTAGAATCTGGAAACATTGATGAAAACAAAAGGCGAGAAGAAAACTCAACTGATAACATTGTTTCCTCATCATTATATCCTTTGGGTACTATTGATTATCGGTCTGATACTCGATTTCTTGCCAAAATTGATTCAACAAAATTATTACATGATTCTAAAGATAAAGAAAAAAATTTCATACAAGAACAACATTCAAATCATACATTTACACCACCAACATCAAGTTTAAGTAATAAATCATCATCATCATCAATATCAGGTGATTTACCTCAACTTAAATATGCTATTGAAAAATTTCTTGTCGATGATGATGATCCGGTTTATCATATAGCTGAAGAATTTTCATCTGCTTGTTCTCTTTATCAACAAGGTTGAAATATTCAAAATCCGTTTTTTCTTTATCTTATATCATTTATTCTTTCTTTTTATATGTGTGATAGATTACAATGGAAATGCTCATAAATCAAATGAAACAACATCGAATTTAGAACATTCTCAGCATGATAAAAGTGATAATATAGAATTTAATTCAATGCACAAGACAAATATTCATCATGAAGTATTATGTCATCCTTCCTCGACATCATCAACTAATATGAAATGGTATGTAAGTGAATTACGAATCAATCGACCATTTATTTATCGTACACAATGGACAAATGGACAAGAACGAGGAAACAATCGAAAATTAAGTCATTCAGTAAATGATCTTAAACAAATTTATAATGTCATATATCGTTCGGATAATGACAAATACAAAAAACCGGGAATAAGTAATATAGATTATATTACTTATTCGACTTTATCATTACCCTATTTTAATAATCAACAACTACAACTACAACAGCAACATCGTCGTCATCAATCTGATGATAATATTCTTCTGAATAATCGTTTATCATCTACAGATGATGATGATGATGATTTAAATAATTTTCGTAGTGATGACGATGATCAACATTTATTACGTATGTTTTATTTATTATATTTAAGATTTTTTAATTTCAAATTTTTATAGCATTGACTATTCAAAGAACATTAGATCGTTCACTTGGTAAAGATGATACATTAATTAGAAATGAATCTGTTAAAAAGAAATTATTTGATATATTAAATGATGATGAACTTGAAAATGCATGTCTTGAAGATATGAGTCAAGAATTTGAAAAACTATCTCTTACTCATCATCATCGTCATCATCATCATCATCATCATTGTGATCTTCCAATAATTAATTCATTCTCATCATCATCCGATGATGTTTTCTATTCGTCATCTCCAAATGATTTTCATTTACCATTTTCATCAGCTCCACCACTTTCATCATCGTACAATGAAAATCTTTCAACAAATATAAATAATCCTACAGAACGTTGTTTCGGTCGATCACGTTTAATTACTACAAGTCTTGATAAAATTCCAATCAATTCTAATGCATATGATCATAAATCTTCATCATATCATTCACGTCCATCATATGATAAAACTCTACCATCATGGTCCACATCACCATTACCACAATGGCGTACAGATGATCAACTATCGATGGTATCAGTACTAAAAAAACATTCATCGAAAAATGATGATTATCTAAATGGTATCGATACTATTGATCCTAATCGATTATTAAGAACAAAAGTTATTGAGTATGGCGTTAAAGGAAATAAATATATAGCAAAGTATAATAATAATAATAATAAAAATAATAATCATCGGAAAGAGCAAAAGCATGTAAGCTATTCATTATTGAATACATCGACACCATTAGTCGATGATTCGACGACAATTCTTCCTATTATTCAAGATAAATCATCAAATATTATTATGTTCATTTAGAAAAGAAACGTTTTCTTCTTCTTCATTTTTTTTTTGCTTGTAATTTACCATCAGTATTTCCTTGTCATATAAAAACGTGCAATCACGAGTGTGTTTTCTTTTTTGTAAATCGATTAGGAACAGTATATGAAATTTTTTTTTTAATTGTATTCATGAATGCAATCAATAAGCGATGAATTTCGGTTTTTTTTTGTTGTATTGTTATTGCACTATGCTTAAAAATTTTCTTGCAAATCATCTGTATTATTTATACTTTAGTCTTGTTGATGGGTTATTAATTAAGAAATAATTCCTTGTCCACACAGACAAACAGACAGACTTATGAATGTAGTTTAGTTAGAATTTGCTAATTTAGCACTGTATTCTTTATAATAAATTAATACTTGATTATTAATACATGAATACAAGGTCAAGAAATATCAGAAAAAATGCGCTAATTTTTACCAGATGTAATCAAATTCTACACATATTCATACTAACTAAGTAAGACTCTGAAGGACATTGTAATAATGTACATGTCTAGACAGATGATTCTCTAGGTGTTTTGTGTTTATCTCAATCTTTGGTATATTGTTTTTCTTTGTATTAATTATTCATTTAAGTTAACTGGAAGAAAAAGAGATTTATTGTATTTATGGCATTATTCTCAAAAGAAAAACGTTTATTTTTTGTCGAAAATATCAAACTTGAGATAAATGTATGGAAAGCTAGCCTGAGGTCTGATCTTTCAGAAATGGCATAATGTTTTGATTCTGTTTTTTTTGTTTTTCTCTCTACTGATGTTTTTATAATGGAACACTTCAGAATTCTCGAAGGAGTTTAATTGTAGCAATGAAATTTTTAGTTTGCTTGAAAGAGCATGTCAGCATGCAGTGTATTATTAAGTCTGATTTTTGAATTAAAGTTTATTACTATTATATAAATTGGAGCGCTATTTTTATGAGATATTGAACTTTTCATCCATTTTCTTTCCCTAAGAATTAAGAATTTAGAAAAAGAAAAAGGTTCTATCATGCACTATATTCTGACATGCTCTTTCAAACAACAAAAAACCCATTTAATATCTCCTGAAAATATCATAATATAGTGCTGAAAATTTTATCATAACCTCCGCACTCCAGTACTAATATATCCTGAAAATTTCCTGTGATTTGCATGTATCTAGTTCAAAATCGATTGTTGAGCAAGTCTTATAAAACTATGATGACTTCTTAAGAAATGAGCAAATCTAATATTCAATAATAAAAGGATTCAATCACTATTTCTTTGTTCATTTAATCTTAAATCTTAACAAGATAATCTTTAACAAAATGATTATTCCGTAGACATATATATTGTGAGTACTAAATCATTGAACTAAAACAAGTTATTAAAGTAAATATAAAAACAAAATTGGTTCGCGCGTTCAATGAAGACAAAACGAATAAAGAAAATACAAAACAAAAAAAATAGATATCTATTGATGGATTTATTTTTTTCTTCCATCTCCTCATAAAAAAGAAAATGTTACAACGAAGAAAAAAAATATATACTATTCTTCATATAATTATTAATATTCAATGAAACTAACTCTTGAACATTTCTAATACTTTCACGATAAATAATTAATCATTATTAAATATATGGATTATAATCAACAAAACAGTGATGGTGATAATTCGACAGTAACCTTCAAGCAACCTCAAAATTCTTTACATTTAACATTATCAACCACATCAACATTAGATTCAACATCGAAAAAAACAAATTCTCTTATGATATCAAAACAATCCAATCTTAATATTGATTATGCAATAAATCGAATTAAATCATTACGCAAACGTTATTATCAACAACAAAAACAAATAGAACATTGCACATCATCTCATTCAACAAATACTAGAAGTACATTACCTTCTACTACAACAATAATGAAAAAAACTGAAAAACAACAAAAATCATTAAAAAATTTTTCTAAAATACAAACACAAGAAGCTCGCCCATTAGGTATTTGTCTACGTAAATGTATTCAATGTCGACAATTTAAACATATTCTATTAGCTGAATGTACTGTTTGTTATCGAATGATGGATATTGATTTAAAAGATTGCAAATGTCAAATAGTTACTAACAAGAATATTATTGATCATTTTATATGTTCAATATGTAATAGTGAATTAACACTCGATGAATATATTATTTGTGCTAATCGAACATGTCAAACAACATTATCAACATTGATAAATAAAGAAAGTATGAATGAAATTGAAGAAAAATCTGTACTTTCTACTATTCTTACAAATATATATTATCCTAAATCAACACATAGAACAGTTGCTATACAAGCTAATACATTAATCAATTTACCATCAGTTCAAAAATTTTTACCAACTATCATAGATGATGAAAATGAGAAATCATCATCATCAATGTCATGGTCTAAACATGATTCAGATTGGACAATAATTACATCACCAGATTCTTCAGACATCTCTTCTATGAGTATTGATAGTAATATTAATGTATCCTTGGATAATATTACAAGGAATGTGACAGCTGCATTTAATTCCAATCAACCAACAAAATTAACTTTACAATCTGAAGATAAATTACGACAACATCAGTCACAAGTACGACATATGTGTATATAGGATAGCGGACAAAAATCGCCACACTTGAGAAACTCAGCAATTAGAAGCTTGAAAAATTTTCTGTATATATTTCATCAAGAGTGTAGGTCAGTGACATAATTCTACTTCAATTACTATAGTACAAAGATAATTATGATGGATGAGATCTATTTTTTTTGTTGTACATTTAACTTTCTAAATTGAAATGGACTGTTTACTGAATTTTGTACTACTTTCTTACTAAATGTATGATTAATTCTTGATTTTTTTGACTGGATCTGAAATTCTATCTTACACTTGTTCTTTACTCAAAAAATGAACTCATTTTCTCAAAAAATAGCGTCTCTGGATGTTTCTGAAATTTTCATCTTATCAACATGATGAACATAGCTATAGTATTTCCTATCAGTACATAGTTTGTTTACGACACTTATAAACACTGATATTCAACGGTAGAGTTAGCTTTCTCTGCGAGTTGGAACTTCATTCACTGAACTACTATTGCGTTCTCATCTCAAAAGGACACCAGATGATTTATTTTTCCACATCAACAGCCACACTGCTAAAGATAGGTGATGAATTCCAAATACATTAGTTGTATAAATAGCTTGGATATAACACTATATAATGAGCTGTTAGCTGACCTTAAAAGCTCATCGTTTCCGAAGTTAATAAAGTTCAAAGACAATATTGGTACCATCCATCATAATTCTCTTTATACTTAAGTAATCGAAACAGAATTATGTCTTTCAGTCCTCCAATACCTATTATGATTGACATCCTCTAGGACAGAGACCTTTGTTCACTACTACAATTTTCATCAGAATATGAGAAAACAATAAATTTTCTTGTTTATGCTTTATAGTTAACAAATACTAATGATAAAATAATAAATAATAATCTAGAATTTATTGAAATGCCAAAATCACCTCGATGTTTACCAATAATGAATGTTCATAGTCGTCATGATCGACTATCGACATTACTTAAACTAAAAAAGAATGAAATATGTCAAACACAATTATCTTGTCTAATGGATATTGATGAAATGATTCGATGTGATGAATTAGTCGATCCAATTGTTATACGAACAAACAATCTAACTCACATTGAACGTCAAATTCAAGTAGATACAATTAGAGGACGTTTTCATGGTTTATGTCAAACTCGCATTGAAATAGATGATCGTATTGAAAAAGATTCAACAATAAATTTAACAAATGATGACAGAATTTTACAAGCACTTATCGATAGAGATGGTAAATAAATGACTATAAAAAATATAATTTAAGTTAAATAAATATATGTTTATTGTTATAGGACAACGATGGTCTGAATTAATTGATCAATTAATAAATGAACAATCAAATTTTTCATTAAGTGATATTGCACAACAATTACTTGATACTGTATGTAAATTTAGTATCATTTCAACTAAACAGTATAAACACTATCCGACATTTTTAAAACGAGTATTATCATCAGTAGAAAGGTCGGAAAAAATGCTTGTTATCAGAGGATGTAGATATTGAGTTTCTCTAATTCCACATTCGCATTTATACTCAGATGGAAGGATTGGTACTATCAACTTAATGCAAATATTAACATCTCCAATCGAAACTTCTATCTAGTGACTGATGAATTAATGAAAGATTATGCGTTCAATATGATTACAATAAAATATCTTGCCAATAATATGAACTATTGAATTATGTTCCCATTTCTATTATTACTGTAATTTTCTCTAATATAAACTTGCATTTATTTTTCTTCATAAAATACTATTGAATAAAACATGTCGATGAAACGAGACCAAACTTATAAAATTTCAATTTTGAAATTCTTAAATTATTTTGTTTTTTTTTTTTTTTTGATTGACTTCTCTAGATTGAACGTTTATATACTACTGAACGATTAAATAATTTAACAACTGGTCAATTACAACGTAAAGTTCGTTATGCAATGTCTCAATTAAAACATATTGATGAAAATTCATATTTACGAAATAATTTTAAAACAACAAAAACTAATCATACAAATATAAATTCAAGAAAACAAACAGAATGTAATGGTACAATGGATATGGCAGTAACAGTAAGACAAATTGATAAACATCAAACAACAGCATCACCTGATCATATTTGGAAATCATATGTTGATCGTTTATTCGATCAAGGTCATTCAGCTAATGAAATTCAACGATTATTACATAAAGCAGCAGAAAAAACGATGCAATGTGATGATTATCGTTTACAAGATGTTTTTAATTATATAAATACAAAAACAAAACAACAACGAGCAAAAACTGCACCATCCAAAATTGCATTCATTGCATCTTCACCAAAAACGATACCAGTAACATCTGAACAATCTCAATCAACGAATTTATTTCAATCAATAAAATTCAACAAAACATTGGATAATAGTAGTAAGATTATGATATGTCCTTCAACTTCAATATCAGTAAATGTTTTTTCTTTATTATTTTGTATAAAATATAATATAATTATAAATATTTTGAAATACATAGGCAAGAAAAGAAATGTCGAATGAATTATCATCTACTTTTATTAACAAAGATCAAAGGTCTACAACTGAAAGAACAAAGAATAAATCTAGTTCGTCTAATACTTCGCTGAACACTAATTTAATTAAATCATCTAGTATCGAACCAAATATTATTCAAATAGAATCAACGGAGAATAAATTCATTACTGATTTAAATAAGAATGAAAAAGAACGAAATTTATCATTACATTCGTCTATTGATCATGAACATGTGAATATAATGGTAAAATCTAGTCTAGCTACTATGAATAAACAACAATCTATAGCCAATAGAGGTTAGTTCTTTACTCACTACGAAGTTATTGTATCATCTGGAAAAACTTTCTTTTTTATTTTCATATTATAATAAACTATTTTCAATATTTCAATGAAGTTTCTTTTTATTGATTTCTTTTATTGAATAGAAACAATAATACCAAGTGAAAAAAATGATAACTTAGACAGCGATAAGATTGTCATTATTAATGAACAAAAATCAAGTCAAATCCAAAAAATAATTGACTCTTCAACTTCACAAACTAATAGAGCATCTAGTTTATATAATCTAAAAAGTAAAAAAAAAAAAGAATTCTATATGAAAACCATTAAGAAATAATAAGAAAAAAAAAACATTCAATTCAATAGGTTCTTCAACTACGAGAATTACATCTGTAACTGATATGCCCTTGACAAATTTTGAAGAGAAATCCATTGATGCATTACATCATGTTGAAAATACTCATCTTCATGAACATTCCTTGAATATTCCATTCGAATTAAATAAATTAATTGATATTATTTTCGAATCGAATTTACGAAAACCAGATAATATTGAAATTTTGATGACAAAATGTATTGAACTTTTAACTAATGAAGAACAAATTATTGTACCACAACTAGAAGAAGTTCATTCTCAGCATATGAATGAAGCTATATCTAATACATTAAATCTCTTACAAGAATATAAAAAACTAACAATGCCATTTATAATAAACTATGAGGATTTATCATATAATCGACATATTTCAAACATGATCAAGATTTCATCTGATAGTCAAAGTAATTTCATTTGTCTTGTAAGATAATTTAACTCATGTGATCAAATTATTATAGTTTCATTAAAATTAGTCAATGAGAACATGGAACAAACTATTGAATCTTCATCTCAACCTATTCAATCCGACATAGATTTAGATTTAAAAAAACAAGTGAACACATCAGAATATCAAGAAACTGTTAGTTCTATAGAATATCGTCCTATGTCATATACTGTTTCGAATGAAAAGGGATCAACAGAGTCTTCAAGACAAGACTTCATTTGTTCAACAAACCATATTTCATTAAAAACCAAAGAGTTAGACGAAGAATTGGTCACGAATAAAAATGATCTGAATAATATATCGGATATACCTTTGAAAATAGAAAGTGAATTATATGATGATCTATCTCTAAAACAATGGCTTGATGCTCTACTTTCAAAATTATCTGATAACATCAGTAGAACATCAAGTAAGTGTTAAATGAAATTTTCTTGTGAGTCGTTCAAATACAAACCCAAATGAACAAATTTTTATAGATAACTTTTTGACTTCTCTATCTTTATTAGTTATTGATCAAACAAAGATTAATGTCAAAGATAAACAAGAATCTATTATTATGAAACCAGTAGATGAACATGTATCATCATTGAATGAACAACGTTCGAAATCATCTATATCTATTAAGGAACGTACAACAAATATGATTGAAACAACTGATGACAAACACAATATACAATATGTAACAGATGTAATCATGCTTAAAAAAGAATATGCTATGTCAATCATCATTCCTGATCAAATTTTTTCTATGATTGATGAACATTTTCAATTAGTTGAAACAAAATTATTACAGACGAAAGTAGCAACAGATTCTAAACAGATTTTAAAATCAAATGATCAGTTGCTATCATCAGTGAATGAGGAAAATATTGAGCATGTCAACAAAGAACTTTCAAACTTCAATTATGATTTTGATGATAAATTTCAAACGTCTTCTTTCGCTACTCTATTACATGCAAATCATGTCGATGAAGAAAAACAATCTATATCATTTGTTGTTAATGATGAAACACCATCTATAACCGGTCGATCTTCAGCTCCTTCAGATATTGACTTATCAGAGCAATTAAATCAACTTCAAATACATGAATGGTCCGTATCTCCAAAACAATTAGTACCGTCGGATCTATCAGAAAGTAAAGAAAAATTTGAATCATCACAAAAAATATTACCGATGTTTGAATCAGAAGACATAGTGGTAATTTTTTTTTTCGATTTAATTTTGGTTTTATTCATGTATTTGAATCATTTAATATGATTTCTTATTTTTTTAGTTATCCAAAACTGATATGAATTTTGTTCCAGAAATAAACACAGAATCATCACCATCGAATGATCAAGAAGAAGAGAAAGAAAAAACAAAATCTATCTTGTCATTTTCTTCTGAAGACAATGAACATGAAGTAAGTTATTGTTTCCATTCTTATATAATTTGCAGTTTTAATGAATACATTAATATAAATCAAAACATCTTAATTTTCTTCTACTACTTGTAGAGTTTAATAGAAACAAATGAACCTCATATAGACATTATAACATCATCTAAATCTTCACATATCAATAAACAAGTATTCGATGAACATACGTCTATAACTGCTTCAATAGTATTTAATCATCAGAATGAAATTAGTAAACTTCAGCTACCAGTTTCAACAAAATATTTCAGTACTTCTAATGATATACAATCTAATTCTTTTTTGATTCACTTGAATCATCAAACTAGTACTATTCCGCATAAAAAATCTATATCTAATCATACTCCAATGTTAAATGAAGAGAAAAATTCACCAATCAATTCACATGATCAAAACCTTGTAATAGAAACATCAATCCAGAATAGTGAAGATAAAAAATTATCAAGTGAAAAAATAGATAATGTTACTACTAATCATTTTCACGAGTCTACTATCCTATCATTGAATCATAATATTACACCACAATCAGTAAAATCAATACTTTATCCATCAAAAACTACAGTGAATACCTATTAAATTATTAAACTTTATTCATCACTATTGATTATTTAGAAAATTGAACATATCAAATACGACAAGATAACTACATCATTACCCCCCTCATTAGAACCAGCCACAATTCCTATAACGTAAATTGAATTATATGTTATTTAAAGAGATGATATTTCATATATCAGCTTGTCTAAACGTAACGTAGTTTATAGAAATTATAAAATAAGGTCTTATTCGTAACATTGTTAGAGTAGAAAATTGATCAAGCTTTATTACAAGAATATCTCAATGTGATAAAAAAAAAGAAGTTTATCATTTTGAAAAAATAAAGACTACTTGATAGTTCACAGTACATTTGAAAGCGAAGGTTCACTATAAAACATCAAGGTGCACGATTAGTTTTAAAGTAAGATCGAATAAATACTTAATGTATGAAATAGCACGTTACGTGGGCAAAGCCGATGTATAGATGCCAAATCTTGACAAACATTATTTTTCCAGTTCTTAATGAATTCTTCAGACTATGACAATCATTGATTTCTTTTTCCACTAGTCGAATGTTTGACTATCGTCATGAAATTGAAAATGAAAAATTATCTTCACAATTAGAAGAAAGAGCTACAGATAATAATACTCATCAGTCAGATTTGAAACAGCAATCATCTGTGACAAATAGAATGATTCGTAATGGTACTCCTTCATCATCAATGCCAAAACTTTTACTAAAACGTTCTTCGATCAAACAAAATTCTGCTACTTCACAAATAAAGAAACCAAATGCAGCATCATCTATTACAGATATTAGTACATCTTCAAGTAATACGGGTACTATCGATCATTTGCAAAGTACACATTCAATAATAAGTGATCAAGAAGAAGTTATATCATTAAAAACAACAAATAAAACAAAGAATTCTAACAATGAATTTATATCAAAAGTTGATTCTACTTCTAAACATATCATATTAAGAAAAAAAACACCACAATCATCACAAAATCAATCATTGATATCTTTAAATCGAAAACAACATAATATCGAAATATCAAAGAAAAAATTTACAAATAATAGTTTATTAACAAATTCAGAATTAGCATATGATACTGAACAAGGATCTGATGTATGGATGAATAGTCATGAAGATATTACTCAAAGTATTAATGACCAAAATGAAAAAAAATCAAAGATTCATAAACGACAACAAAAAAAACAAAATAAAAATCGAATAATTGATGGTTCAAAATTTATGCCTTTGAACTTAAAAGCACGTAGTGATCATCAAGCTCATACTGTAGATTCTTCAAGATGTAAAATTTTGCTTCTTTTTTTCTTTTCATGTGTCTCTCGATTAGGAATCAGACAGAGATGGGACTAGTTCGGTTAGGCTATTCCGACTTACAAGTGTATTGAGATTGCAAATATTTTCATGAGAAACAATAAATCTTTTCTTTATCTTGTTGAAAATGAGTCCTTCGAAAATATTATTTCAATCGAAAGTTAATTAAATTTACAGAAGTTTAAAAAATTAGTACTTATAAAATTTATTCCATCATCTTCTTGTTCTATAACAAGATTATTTTTATCGCGTTTCCAAAAGACCTTCATGATTTCTGTTCAATTCTCATATGTTGCTGTATGCCGATGTTCTTTTAGTTAACCTATTCAAATTTGAGATGGACAATTGTAATTCGAAAAGAATTTATATTTATCGATTTCTATACTATTCCAATTTCAAAAGAAACTTCGATGTTGCTCGTGCCTAATCGTGATATTTAAGTTTATTTATATATCTTTTTCTCTCATAGTACCAAGTATTGAACAATCATGTGGTGAACGTGATCTAAAAAAATTATCAAATGACCTTTCACGTCGTCCAATTATTCGTCTTCCAATAACACAAATAGAAAAATTTGAATGTGGAACTATTGGACCTCATCTTCATCCTTCTTCAATTGCTCGTCAATTATTTTATTTACCATCAATTCATAATCGTCATCATTTATCATCTCAAATTTATGAAACAACTGAATCACTGACGGATCAATTTTATTCGTTTATGTCATCAAAAAATATTGATGATAAGCAAGCATTTGAATCAATACTCAATTGGCAACAACAACAATCACAACATCCAATATCAAAGACTGAACAGAGTAAATGTCAACAGGTATACTTATTAGATACATCAACAAGCAATACAATTCGTGGTAGACAATATCCTATCTTAACTGATGAAATCGATATGATTGATGATCCAAATGCATGTACTATTGTTAATAAATGGGCTTTTGCTGATTTAGTCAATGCTGAACGAGAAAAATTTATTCAAGAATCAACAAATAAAATTACGAAATCAAAAAAACGATCATATCTAAATAATAATATTAAAATATGTTTACGAAAACGACCATTAACACAATTTGAACAAGATGTATTTAAAGAAGTTGATATTATAAGTATTGTTGATTCACAAACAATATTTCTTCATATACCATCAATAACTATTGATAATCAAGTATTCATTAAAAATCGAAAATTTAAATGTGATCAAACATTTGATGAACATTGTCAAATAAGCACTATTTATAATTCAACTCTTGCACCATTACTTGATCTAACAATTGATGGTAGCAAGTAAGAATATAAAAGATTATTTGTTGCTTTTTAAATTGTTTTTATAATGATTTATACGATTTACTTTTCGTTGATTATTTGGAAGAGTAGACAGTGTCGGTGATGTGACTAGGTGTTTGCGTCATTTCTACACTCACACTCCGATTGTCATAAACGAGCACTTATTTTCTCATTTGTCTTCTTGCAAATGATCAATGTACTGTAATTCTTGTACGTGGTTCACCTTCGAGTCAGTTCCATTACGTGATCTCTCATTTGGAATTCTTCTCAATTCGATCTCTTTCCAATTCATTCATGATTCATCAAACTAAAAGGAAATAAGAAACTTTCAGTTATCTTCATAATGAGTCATTTAAAGAATTCAGCATCGAATAATGATCGATCGAACGAAACTAATTTCATAAGGCGACTTAAACCCAACGACATGTCAGCGATAGAGCTTGTCGGGTCCTAAGTTTTTGGATCCGAACTTGACTGAATCTAGAACCAATCTGACCAGCTCTAATCAGCAATCATTACTAAGATACACATATTGAATACGAAAAGTGAACAACTACCATGCAATCACAACCATATATCGTAGTGTACTTGTATTTAACTATTAAGGTTTACAATTAGTGTATCTGTAGAAAAACTATATATTCGTTTAAAAACATGCTTTTTCGATAGATCGGTAACACTCTATACACTAACTGTTAGAGCACCTTAAAGAGTGTAAGTACTGCGGTGTCATTGGTCTTCAGAAGTACTTAGCCTTAACTAATTGGTCTAATTGACAGTTGGAACATTACAGAGTGTCAGAGTGAGGGTGTCGTCAGTGTCAAGTAGCACCTATAGTTTATTAATACATAAGTGTCAAATGAATTCTGAAAAAAGTTGATAATCAAAAATACTATCATGCAATATCATGATGAATCATTGTAATTGATAATATTAGGATTACATTGAGAAAGAATCTAAGTGAAAGATCGTTGAATATGATCGATTTTTAGACTCCTTTGTATACAGAGTTTATAGTAATTTGTATATAGTTGTTTATGTTTAATTGGTGGTGGAAAATATTCGGGTAAAAATTATCTTCTTCATTCATTAATTGATTTATTTGCATTTGATCTAATTCGTCTTTTATCATCATATGATATCTATATTAAATTACTTGGTATATGTCATAATCGAATGATTGATCTTTTACAAAATTATTCACCAATACGTATTATTAAATCTATGGATTGGACATTAATACCAAATGATGTATTTCATTTAAAAAATGATAATGATATTGATTATATAACATGTCAAATAAAAAAACGTCGTCGTTTTATTCATCAATTAATACAAATTAATTTTCATGAAAAAGAACAATCGATAATGATCGGTTCATTGATGATTGTTGTTTTAGCTTCATCTCAATATGTTTATACAAAAGATTTATGCTCACATAGAAAAAAATTTTTAATTAATTCATTAAATAAAACAATTTTATCATTTAAAAGAGCATTACTTGGTATTCGACAAAATCCAGATCGAGTTCGAGCAGGTATTATTAAATATTTTCTGAATATGAACATAAATTTGATATATTCTTAGCATTTAACAATGATATTTTAACTCGATTGATTGAACCATATGTATTTCATGATCAATCAAATATTTGTTATATAGGTACACTTAATCCAGGTCATCGACATCGTATTGCAACAAAATCTACAATTGAATTTGCTCGAAATCTTCGTTTTTGTTTGAAACGTATTAATAAACAACGTCGAAAACGAAAAGAATTATCTCGAATAAATACTAATAATAATGATAATACATTTTAAGACATAAATATCAATTGTTTTGTGTGCCTTTTTAAATATCTTTTGAATTCTATCTTTGTATGTGATAATGTAAAATTGTTGTGTTCAACTAAATAAAACTAGATTAAATTAGATGTTTAGATAGTTTTTAAACTTTATGTGTCAATCATGAAAATAGAAATTTTGTATTCGATTCAGTTGATTCTTTCATTCGAATGTTGAAGAAATAAAGATGAATAATATTTTTTTTTATATTAAAAGTCTCAAAAACAAAAAAAAAACAGTGGATTTATAAATCATATGATTACAGAGTGTATTAAAAATCAGTTTATTTTTTGAAGATTTATTTTATATTTTTTCAGATTAATATCTGTGATTATGAACATTTAAATAAAAATAGATTTGTTAATGTTCAAATTTGAGTCATCTATTATCCTGAAAGGAGAAATACAAGTCACATAGCAAACATAGATTGTACTAGAAACACTTTTAATTACGTTCACAACATCATTTTAATAGTAAATGGACAACAATCTGAAAGATCTTGAAAAGTGATAGAAAAGAAAATCGGCAAAATTTATGATGCTTATAAAACTGTGTGAGTATCGAGTGTTAGAATTGTTGCAATAACGTGTTTCATTTTACAATCAACAACAAACTGAATTATGACTTGATATCTTTCAATGAAATTATACAAGATGCCATTTATCTAATAAATTCACAAAAAAACCTACACAACGTCAAGTTGAGATTGTCAACTTTTGATACTTGTGTTAAAAAATATCAACAATCAGGTGAACTTGTTTTTTTTTTCTGATGAAATATCTTTCCATTTGAATAGTTTATCGATACATATTAAGTATACATTTATGTGTATAAGACGCATATAAAGATTTAATAGAATTCAAAAATGAAATCTTCGTAGCATTTTTGAAAATTTCGAATACGATTGATTTATCTACTTTAGTTAATGAAGCATTTAAATCATTTGAACTGCTTCAAAGTTATTTGTGTAAAATTTTCAGGCGAACTTTTAGAACACTCTGTATATGGTTCATTCAGAAGTAGATAAATAAGAATTTCTAGAAATGTATTAATGTTTATAGAACACCATAATCAAACGAAATCATACAAAAATATCATATGCTATTGATCAGTTAAAATGAGTATCATCATTGGATTTTCATAGGATCTTTCTATTATAAGATACTTTCTCAGTAAAACCTATATTAGAATATCATCATACAAGTTTTATATGTGTGATTTGTTTATATGGATAGTTTTTGCAATGGCAAATAACAAAAAAAAGAATTAAATTTATAATATATGCTAATTTTTGTTTAAGAAAAAAAGTTTAGAAGCTTTATGAGTGTAAGACAACTATATATAAATCAATGTTTGTATTTGAGTATAAATGTTATTTTAAATGAACACTGTTGTACTTGTATAAAAGACATTTTAGAATAATCTCTGTTGAAAATTTCATTATTCAATTGAATTTTTATTTAATGGTTTCCTGTGAAAAGATAAAACAGCGTTATATCACAATGGGAGGTCTATATTTTCGGGGTCGTAAAAAAAAATTATTTTATTGACTGAGAAAATTTGTCGTATGATGAGAATGAAAAGGTGAGGGCCGTCTTCTGAAGGTCAATTTATGGGCAACTATTAAAACTTCAGTGACATCTAGATATAGCACCTACAAAATAATTTTTAATAGTTATTATATTTGTTTCTATGATTATTATATTTAATAAAACTAGAAATTCGAATCGAAAAATTCTCCTTCGAAATAGATGTCATTAAAAAATAATTCATTGGTTGTCTGAAAAAACAAACAGACGGTGATTGAACACCTTTCAAAAAAAAAGTCATTATTTTAAAAATTTGTTGACTCATTTTTGATACATTATTGCTCATATATTTGTATTTCAGATGGGCCGTATAAATGTTATCATATGGCTTCAATTTCTTTTTTTTTATACATTTACAACTATATTAGCTTATCAATCGTCCGATTTTTTTCCATTCTATTCTCAAAATGATACAAATACATTTGTTGATCAAGATGATGGTCTATTCATTTATGATCAACATGGACAAGTTGACAATGATGTTCCTCTTAATCATTCTATTCGACGTCGACAAGTTCCATTGAATATTATAACATCACAACTGGCACGAATGCCAATAGTACCATCATATATTGTTCTAGGTCCACGTATAATTCGTCCTGCACAATTAGTTGCATTAAGTGTAACAATTTTTCGTGATGAGTGGAATCCAATGATGGTTAAAGCTTTAATATCTAATGATGATATGGATGTTGCTGCAGCTGAAGATTTATTTATCGTTGGTGTACCACGTACATTAGAAATGCGTATACCAAATAATGTTCGTAGTAGTACATATCGTTTAACACTTGAAGGAAAATTATTAACAGGTGAACAAAAATTTTATAATGTTTCACAATTAATATTTGAACAAAAAGCAGTAACAATACTTATTCAACTTGATCGACCTGTTTATCGTCATGAAACAGTTGTACAATTTCGTTGTATACCTATTTATCCAGATCTAAGTGGTTATTTTCATACAGTTGATGTTTATATACTTGGTCCATCTGGACATATTTTGCGTAAATGGGAAAATCAACAAACAACCGCTGGCATGGTTTCACTTGAAGTAAATAATTGATATATGTGTATATATTATATAAAATTTAAGGAGAGTACGTCAAATAAAGAGACATGTGCTCAATATTAAAGAAAAAATTTTAAACAAACTTTTTTTGTGTGTTTATTCGAAAAACTTTAATTTTTCATAGGATTATATTGAGCCTACTTAGGGTCTCTGTCTAACACATTGTCCTATCAGGCTGAAAATTTATTGCAGATACTGTAAACTGCATTTCGTAGATGGTTTTAAGCTTGTTCAAAAATTTTGCTTTTTTTTTTTTATAAAAACAATATGTAAAGATTCGAATCCAAAACTCGAGTGCTGATGTTCAGAACTCATATCTCCTCATTGGATGTGCTCTATCTTTGATAAAAACATCATGTAAATCAATTGTATCCTCTTCAAGAATACGAAATAGTCAAAAAGCGAAAGAAACTTTAAATAATCTCTTACATTTTTTTTTCCTAGTATCCAATTAATGATGCACCACCAGAAGGTATTTGGTCAATAAAATGTCGTGTTATGGGTTATGAAGCAATAAAAACATTTGAACTTTATGAATTTTATGCAAGAAAATTTGAAGTTAATGTTACTGTTCCATATTATTTACCAACAGATACACCTGGTGTTGGTGGTATTGTTACAGCAAATTATTCTACAGGTATGGGTGTACTTGGTTATGCACGAGTTGTTGTTCGTGCACGTGATATGTCTGTTCCATATGATCCACGAGCTAGTCCATTAAAAGATGTTGAATTTGATCATTCAACACCATCATTTGTAACAACCATTGATGATTTTAATGGTGTTGCTGGTTTTTTTATTCCAATAGCTACTATTCTTAAACTTGTACCTGAATTAGATGGAAAAGAAATTTTAATCACAGCACTTGTTCATGATCCATGGTGGAATGAAACAAATAATGGTACAACTGTTGTTTCATTTTATCGACCTGGTGTACGTCTTCAATTTCTTGGTGGTCCATCAATGGTATTTAAACCTCGTATGTTATTTACAACATATGTTGCTGCTATTAATTATGATGGTACAAAATTTCCACCTGGTCCTAATCGATTTATTCGTATATATACAGATACTGATCTTGGTCAAGCACAACCACCAGCTGATTATATACTTGATTCAACAGGTATAGTTCAACATCAATTTTTAGCACCTGGTGATCCTGGTGTTACATTTATACGTCTTCGAGCTGAATTATATGATAATAATATTAAACTTCAAGATAGTGATGATGAACAACGTGCTATACGTTATTTATCACCATCAAATAGTTATTTACAAGTAACATCAAGTACTGAAACACCACGTGTTGGTGATTTTATGTTATTTCGTGTTAATATAACACAATATGTTGATTTTGTTTACTATCATATAACATCAGGTGGACGATTAATTTTTACAAATATACTTCCAATGGATGGTGCTAAACAAAAAACATTTGATGTTGGTGTTAGTCGTGAAATGGCACCATCAGCACATATACTTGTTTATTATATACGTTATGATGGTGAAATAGTTGCTGATAGTATGAATTTTCATGTAAATACATCATCAGTTACAAATCGTGTTAATATAACAATAAATCGACGAAAAGATTTTACAGGTAATACAATTGAAGTATTAGCATATGCATCACCACAATCATTTGTTGCATTTGCTGGTCTTGGTCTTGTACAAACACGTTTATTTCCACCAGGAAATCATTTTACTCCAGTTATGGTAAATTTATTTCATCTGAAAAAAAGAAAATAAAAGATTTTCTTCTTGTTTTAAATATTATATTTTCAATTATAGATTTATGATGAATTATATTCATTTGATCAATATTCATCAACAAGTTTTCAACATACATGGTATTCAGAAATTAATATACCATCAAATAGAGTTTTTTTTCCATCACAATCTTATGGTTATGATGCTGGTTCAACATTTAATTCATCTGGTATGCAAATATTTACTGATGTTAATGTTAAAGCTATAGAAACAGCATGTAGTCAAATGGGTGCAATGCAATGTACAGATGGTTTATGTTATCCACCAGCATTAAGATGTAATGGTGTTCTCGATTGTCGGGATGGTTCTGATGAAGCTAATTGTAAGAGATAATTTTATAATTCAGAAAAAAGTAAAGTTTCTATTGATCGGTTTTTGTTTTAAAGGTAATTTGACAAGAACGACTCATTATGATTTTACACCATTATATCGTCGTTTATGGCCATATTGGGAACGTGAATTACAACTTGATTTTATGTGGCATCAACAATTTGCTTATCCTGATGGTCGTGTACAATTTCGTGCAACAGTACCAAATGTAATTGCAACATGGGTTATAACAGCTGTTGCTATAAGTCGTTTAACAGGTTTTGGTGTTGTTGATGTACCATCTATATATGAAGGTACTCGACAATTTTTTATTAAAGTTGAAGTTCCACCTATTGTTCGACTTGGTGAACAAATTGGTGCACGTGTTGATGTTTTTAATTTTCAAACATATCGTATTGAAGCATTAATTATTTTACATGCATCAGATAATTATCGTTTTGTTAATATTGATGATAATGGTGTTGTTACATCTTTTGCACCAAAATTAACTGATGGACAACATCATGTTTTAGTTATTTTATATCCAAATGAAGTACGAAGATTATATCTTCCATTTGTACCTATTGTTGCTGGTGAAATAGAAGTATTGATTGAAGGTATGTTTTCTTGAAAATGAGTAAGCAAAAAAAAGAAACACTGGAACAAAAGAACAATTTTGAAAGAGTGCGGAACACAGTAGGCAATATCTATCGAACATGTCAATATGACTTATTTTCTGTTAAAAATGTTCTTTTCTCCTAGGAATATAAGCTTCTTATACTTAAAAATAAGATTAATGGGAAGAAAAATCATTTGTAATAGAAAATACTTGACGTGGCCTCTGACTTGACATTCTTGTGAAAAAACTTTTTATTTTAAATTTTGACAACGGATATATTACTCAATGTAATTTTTCACGCTGACTTTAAGTGCTTCTATAATAAAAAATTCATGAAACACTTTTCATAACTTAAGTTTTCAGAAAACATGTATTTAAGTCAAGAAACATTAGCACATCACTATACTAACTGAGTATATGTCTTGAATATAGAAAAACATTGTCTAAAAGTTTTGCCCATATCGAATCAGCGAAAAAACTAGTGGCTATTCCATTGAAGACACCTTGTCGGAACATACTTAGCATAAAAAGAATAATTATTTTTTTTTTAGTATTTTATTTATGAATTAATAGAATCAAAGTCCTAGTTTCAGACTATGTGTATGATCTATTGTCCAACTCTTTTTATTTATCACAAAAATAAATGATGCTTTTCTCTAAATGTGCTGGACTTTGATCTTTTTCACAACTAATGAGAAGATTGTTTTCAGTTGATAAATTATTTTTGAGTTGGAATTCTATGCATAAATTAGATGTTAATGAGATATGAAATGTTTGAAAGGACAAGTTCCTTCAGACTTTACTTTCAGAGTTATAGTTATTTTACTGGAAATTTAGGCTATGGTATGATGTGTACCTATAAATCGCATGATGGTTTTATGACGTGACATTTTGTCCACAAATAAATGCATTCGTGGCTAAAATGTCTTGAAATTTCAGATGGGAAAGAAAGTTTTCTTCGCGAGATATTGAATTACCGAAAATCTGAGAATGTTGTACTTTTTTAGCAGGATTTGAATGATGTTTGCAAATTGAATATCTTGCAAGGAAAAACATTATTTTTAGTCAAAGGTTTCAGGGCATTCTAATTGCATATAGGTGTATCTATGATTGGAATACCGTCATTCAATTTTTCAGTGCATATTATGCTATAGACTAAAATTTCAGTAAAATCGGCACAGCCGCGGAAGGAAGGTCTAAGAGCCCTTATCTTTTTTTGAATGTTTCATATCTGAAGGAAGTCTACCTGACACATTGAGTCCGAGTTCAAAAACAATTTATCACTTGAAACAGTTGTTTCGTAAGTTTTTCTAATAAATTTCGAAGCTGTAACAAAACTTTATTTTTTATCAAAAGACTGTCTTTTAATCAAAGTGTATAAGTTACTATTGAAATTTCAAAAAACCTCATTTTTATTTTTTCGTCCATATTGTTGCTCTCAGTGTATCCTGCTTGAAACACTGCTGAATTAATATGATCCTCAAAATTATTACTCTTCATTTCCAACATAGTAATATTTTTTTTTAGATTTATTACAATAAACTATGAAATAAATAGTTTCAAAGGTATCAAATTTCTAATTGCATAAGATGTGCATGCATATTTGTATATATGTTTATTTTTTTTTTTCACTATTGAATGAAAAATTGCTTTTTTTTTCGTTATCTCTGATAACAAGTGTGCATGACGAAAGCGGAAAGAAAAAGATTCTTGTGCTTATTAAATTATTAATCGAGCATGTAAAATGAAGATTGTTCGTATAAAGAATTCATAACTAACAGGAAACTATCTGTTTCTATTATTCTTTTTGTCTTGTCAATGATGATTTTATAAAGTAAAACATGTTTATCATTCATTTTAATTTTGATCATTATTTATAGCACGAAATTATTAATTATGAGATTATTGAAAAGCATTATTTTGTACTTAAATTTAAATATTTCTATTATAGGTATAACTGGTGTTTCACGTGATTTTTATCGTGAATTAATTAAAGTTAATTATGAAGGTGTACGTAATTTTTATCATACACCAACTGTATTATCATTAAATAATTTACCTCGACAAATGAATGAATATGATGTAACTGTACCTCAACGTTTTATAGTTCCATTAGAAAATTATTGGACTTATGTACCTGGTTCAGCAACATGTGAAATATTTGTTTCTGGTGATGTTGCTGGTCCATTTTTCTTATTAGGTTATGATGAATGGTTAAATACAGATAATTTAATTCAACGTACAACTGCACCAGCTGATTCAGGAATATTTGATTTTGCTATGATGATTTATAATCTTCGTTATATGTTACAAGGTTAATAATATTGAAAAAAAAAAATATATATATATATATATGTATATGTATATTTGTCTTACGTAAAACTGTGTTTTGTTTTTAGGTCATGGTGGTCGTGCATTTGATCAAGAAAAACTTATGAAAGTATTAACATTTGCTAATATGGAATATCTTCGTTTTATGGCTATGTATCTTGGTGACAATCCTGATGAACCATGGCGTAAAGGTTCATTTAGTCAATTTGGTTTTACAAATGAATCATCTGTTTGGTTAACATCATGGGCATTAATGACATTACGTGATGCTATTTATCCTGAATGGGAAGAAAAAGCTTTATTTATTGATCCAATTCTTCGTTCAGATGTTGCTTCATTTCTTATAAATGTTCAACAACGTAATGGTTCATGGACTGAATTAGCAACACATTTAGATCGAAATAAATTTGGTGTACGTTATACAAATATAAGTGGTACATATCAACAATTAAATTTAGCATTAACAGCACAAGTTGTTATTGCATTACAATTAAATCTTGATATACGTGGTATACCAGCAAAATTATTAACAGGTGCTATTAATCGTGGAAAAATGTGGTTAGAAAGATATTTTCGTTTAATTAATGATGCATTTGATATGTCTATTGTTACATATGCATTACATTTAACAAATAGTGCTGAACAAGATGCAGCATTTTCAATGTTAAATTTATTTAAACGAACAAGTAATGTTTGAAATTACATATTTTGTTGTGTGTGTGTAATATGTTAGATTGAATATTTTTAATTTTAGATGAAAATGGAATTTATTATGCAAATGCAAATTTACCTGGAATGACAAAAACATGGCCAAATGTTAATCCACGATATGGTCCAAAACCTGTACAAACAGATTTTGAAGCACATGCTGTTGCTGCTACAGCATTTGTTGTTATGACTTATACACAAAAAGCTCGAGTTAGACAAGCTGAACAAGCTGGTAAGTTCTTCATATAATTTTCTTTTGCAAAGCGATAAGAACAAAAACAAAACGTATTTTTCTTCTAAGAAAAATTAGATTTCATTTGTCTTTTTTGATTATTTTCTTGATGATTAAAATTTTCAAATCCTAATAATTTTCTAGTATTATGGCTTCAATCAATGCGTAATTTTATTGGTGGTTGGTCTTCAACATATGATTCTTGTATAGCTCAACGTGCAATTGTTGGTTATGCTGTATTACGTGGTTTTGAAATAACCGATTATAAGATTCGTATAGATTTAACATCATCATCATCAATTGATCATGTTCAAGCTCCACTTATAATTCTTGATGAAAATTTAATTGAAACACAAGTTCGAGATGTTGAAAATGTTTTTGGTGTAGTTTATCTTGATGGTTTTGGTAAAGGTTATGCACTTATTCAAGTATGTTATATTTGATTTTTGTGAAACAACATCTAAAAGAAGTGTTGAAGGATGCAGATACAAATATAGATTCTTTTGTAGATCATGACTTTTAATTTGTTAAGAGAAGGTTGTAGAAAGTGCGATGATCTCATATTTTGTGCTCTATAAAGATAAAGTTTTCTACAGTTTGAAAACTATTGTCTCTGACTTTTTAGAAAACTTACCATTATAGTTCATCTATGGTATAGAATGTATTATATAAAAAATTTCATTCGCTATTAAAATTACTATTTGAGTTTGAGTTAATTACTTAGCATTAGTGAAAGAAAAAACAATCAGAAATAGATTGTTATTAAACTGTTTTTTTCACCACCTTAAGGTCACCAACTGTATATCAATAACATCACATTTTAGTATATAATCTACTTCCTTATTGAATGTCTGAAGGATTAAATCAAAGTGACATGAAGTAATATATCCCAAAGTAAATAAAGTATAACATTCTACCTGTAGTTAGCAACAACAGTTCACAATCGTATTTCATATTTTAATCCCTCAGAAATGATGTTAAAAGCTTTGTTTTTCTTATTATTTTCTTTTATTTTTCTTCTTAATTCTATATTTAGATGCATGTTGGTGTTAATGTTGAATTCGATGACAAAGTTCGTCGTCCACAATATGTACCATTTTCAATTGATGTTCAACCAATGTTATCGGGTCGTAACTTTTCAACAATTGATTATAATGTTTGTCTTGGTTGGCGTCCAGAAAATGTTGATGTACTTAAAGCATCACGTAGTGGTTCAGTTATGATTGAAATACAAATTCCAACAGGTTATCGTGTTGAAGAAAGAGATTTAAAAATGATGATACGTAGTTTTCATACACGTAATTTACGTGAAGCAGAAAATTGGCCTGGACAAATTAATTTTGGTTTTGATTATGTTGATTTTGATCCAATATGTTTTGAATTTCAAGCTAAACGTTGGATACCTGTTGCTAATATATCACGTTATTATGAAGTACGAGCTTACGAATGGTTTGAACCTGGAAATATGAATCGAAGTGTTTATACATTAAGAAATTTATTTTCATTAGATATATGTGAAGTAAATCTATTTCTATTTTCTTTTTTGTTTTGATTGAAAGAATATCGGTTTGTTTTTTCTTCTCTAAATTTATTCATATTAGGTTTGTGGTTCATATCAATGCCCGTATTGTCCATATTATAGTCATGCAAAATCATTAATTCAATCAACACTTATGATTATATTTATTTTATGTTTATTATTAGAATTATATATAATTATTATTTAGATATTGTTTATTGATATCTCACATTTCAATACTCATTTATGTATATTAATTCATTCCATTTGCGTTTTATTAACGAGTGAATCTCAAGACGTCCGTATTTCATGGAACTTTGTGCAAGAATATTTCTTTTTGTGTTCTTTGTTTTCTCTTCTTCTTTTTTTCTTTAACGATATATAAAGATTTTCTTTTTTTCGCTCTTTTGCTCATATGAATTATTGAATGTGTATACATTCCATGTTTTTCTATGCGATTTTTTTTTTATCAATCAATTTTTGCTACATAATGGACACTAGTGGTTTTCTTTTCTTTCTCTTTTCGAAAATAACAAAAAGAAAATAAAAAATGTAGTATGACTTTTAGATATGAATATTGAACGGGAATTTCCTCTACATGTGGCCATTTGGAATAATGAAACAGACAAATTAGCAGAATTAATAAAATATAATAAAGTGAGTTCTTCGTTGTTAATGTGACATAGAAAATGGGGAATTTTAATTATTGAATCCTTTTTGTTTTATTTACTTATTTTTCTTAAAAAAAAAAGTGGTCGATTGATTTATTTGTATTGACTCGAATTCACTACAGCGTTCATTGTGCAAAACAATGAACAATGAAAAATACCCAAGAGGATTCATGTTTATAACACATTAGAATAATGAATGTTTAAACAATCTGTCAAATCATGCAATGTTTTTGATTTTGTCGTTGTTTATTATAGAAAACATATTTTGTTTTAGGATCGCATTGAACAATTTGATCCTCGTCATCGAACTCCAATACAGCTAGCTGTATGTTTGGGTCGTATCGAAGCAGCTCGATTATTAGCAAAAAATGATGCTGATTGTAATGTTGTTTCAAAAGATGGATGGAATTGTAAGCTTTTTTTTTCTTTTATATTTTATTTTTGATAGTTGTCTATAGATATGAATTTATTTAGTATTACAAGAAGCTATAGCAAATGGTAATCCATCTTTAGTTAAACTTATTATGAAATATCGAAATTATCAAAGAAATGTTCAACGTATTCGTGGCATTCCAGAATTATTACGAAAACTAAAAGAGGTAAAATAAAATAAAACTTATTCTATTGAAGTTTTATGTATGTACTTTTTTTTTTAAATTTTAGTCGCCAGGTATTTAAAAATAGAATTCATTAGTTCATTGTTATTAACGCAAGATTAAAATATTTATTTTAGATTTTTATGTTGAAATGAAATGGGAATTTTCTAGTTGGGGTAAGAAAATAGATATTAAAGAAAAATAATAAAAGTAATTATATTTTAATATTTAGTTCCGTTAGTGTCAAAACTTTGTCCAAATGATACTTATAAGATTTATAAAAGTGGTACGTTAAATAGATTAAAATAAGTTAGAGAATATTTCAATTAATTTTTTTATAAACACAAAGGTCCAAATGTTCGTGTTGATACGACATTACTCGGTATTGAAGGTACAAATTGGCAACGAGGCAATCGAACATTCATTTTTTCATTATTAGGTAAGATATTTTAATTTATTTGATATATATCGAAGGAAAAATATTTCTGACCAAAATTTTTAGCTGATTGTGCCAAAATGATTGATATTGATCATGAAACAAAATCAGCTTATAGTGAAAATTTAAGTATACCTGGCGAGGAAGCTGCTCTTCTTGAACCAAATATGGACCAAATTGATAGTAAACTTATGTCACCAAATTTAACTGGTATTTATACTAAGTTATTTTTTGAATTTTATTTCTTTAGTATTTGTTTTTAGTCTATCTTGATGTAGATAAAATTGAATTCGAACGGTAAAATGAAGATTAAAGAATGAAAGAAAAAAAAACAACAAATTGTTTCTCATTTATCTATTTTAGAAGTAAATCAGGTGTATGGGGAATGCGTAATGAAAAAACAGAAAATATTAATGGTTATCCATGTAAAGTTTATACAGCTAATAATTTTGAACTTGTGACACGTACTCGTATTGAACATATGTCACCCGATGATCGAAAAGTTTACGAAACTGGACATTCATCCAATAGAAATTTTCTTGGTGGAGTTTTTAATTTTCTTGAATCATCAGCTTCATCATCGAAAGCTACAACAACAGCAAATGCATCAGCATCGAAATCATCAAATGTATATAAATATTATTTATTGAATAATATCAATTATTATGATTTTCTTTTTTAAAGGATTCATCAAAATATTCTAATCCATCACCAGTAACACTAGAAGAATATTTTAATAGTCGAGTTGATCTTAAAAATCGAGATATTGGTCGACCACGTGAAGAAAGTGTTAAAATTCAAACATTTAACGCTCAAATATCTCTTTGTGATGAATATCCACTTAGCCTTCAAGAACAAATATTGCCCATTATTGATTTAATGGCAATTAGGTAAATAACCATAATTCCTTTGACATATGATTTTATTTTATTTTTTATTATTAGTAATTCACATTTTAAAAAACTACGCGACTTCGTTACACTTCAAATACCAAATGGATTTCCTGTTAAAATTCGTAATTAAAATAAATAATTTTCTTTTTAACTTTTATTAAATATTTATATTTTTTTTAGAAATTCCACTTTATCATGTTCTTACAGCTAAAGTAACATTTGGAAATATTCATGGTATTGATAAAGCTATTGAAGGTGTATCAACGATAAAAGAAGATTCAATTTCATTTTGTGCTGTTGATGAAAATATTTTTGCTATACCACCAGGATATCGTCGTCAAGGTTCGTCTATTAAAAATATCAAGCATATTAATTAACGTTTTTTCTTTTCTTGTTTCTTCTTTATTAGGTGAAGGTGAAGGTTATCATCCAATGATGTATATGGATGATGATACTCTATTACAAATGGCTATTGAGAGAAGTCTTCTTGATTCAAATGAAACTAATCCAACTAATGATGGACAAACTTCATCAGATCAAGTTACATTATATGAAGCTTTAGGTCATCCAGGAGCACGTGGAAATCGACCGGATATTAGTAATCGTTATGTAGATTATGATTTACAACGGTAGAAAATTGAATTTATAATCATCTAGAAATTTTATTTCTGTATTTTTTTTTCGATAGCGCTTTGGAAGCAAGTTTATTAACATCAGGTTTAAGTGAAACAGAAATGAATGAAATTAGGCAACAAAATCAAGTACAATTAGAAGGTGATCCTTCATCACAAGATTTATCCGTGGCTATGGAATTATCAAAACGTGATGAAGAAGCTCGGCTTCATCGATTACGTGAAGAAGAAGAAGAACTTGAAAAAGTATGTTGATTTTATTAATAGACTATGGTTTCTTTCATAAATTCAAAATGATTCCTGTATAAATATCTATTAAAAATATAGTTCGTATTACTTGAAGCCTTTTTTTCGACGTTTTTATCGATAGATTTTTTAAAATAGAACTAATAAGAAGCATAGCATTGAAACTTAAAACCTATTCTTTAGTGTTAATTGTGTATACAAAAGAAAATTGTCCATAGATAAAGAAGATTATGTAAACATAAGAAAATTTATTTTCTAAATGAATACCAGATGTATATTATTGACCGAAGAAGAATAATTAAGAAATATAAAAAGAGCAACTAAGAAAATAAAATAAGAACTTAATAATATAGTATTCTACTTTATTTTTATTCTTATAAATATTTTTTTATTTAGGTTCTTCAATTATCACTTCAAGAAAAATAAGACAAACCAAATTCTTACACAAATTTCATCTCTTCTCTGTGTATTATACGACGAAAATGCGTTTCAATTTTTTTTTTCTTTTTTCGTCAATTATTTAATTTCGAATCGTGAAAAAAGACTTTTATTTTTCCTAATTTATTTGTCTATCAAGAAAATAAAAATACATGTAAACATAATACTAATCGAGATGATCAAAATGTAAATTTTCTTTTTTTTTTTTCTTTTTGAATGCATTTTTTCTTCTTTTAAGATTTATATTAATGATGTCCCCGTCACCAAAATCTCCTGAAGAAAAAAAACTACCAAATGATGAAAATTCATCTAATGATGAATTATCTCATCCACCAAATCATACACAACATGAATATATAGCTTCTGATGAATCAGCAACGAATTCGGATGATGATAATAATACAAATAATCAATATGAAAATTTTAATGGTTATTGTCTTTTACCACAAGAATCTGATATTAATAATCAACAACAACAAAAATATGATGATAGTGAAAATGAAGATGAAGAATTTCTTCGTTTTGCTACACTTCGATCACAATCATCCATGGATGAAAATAAAAATTTTCCGACAATTAATTCAACAACATTTACAAATGAATCTATTTGGACAACTAAATTAGAAAGTGAATCATTTCCTGTTGATGATGATACAGCTAATTATATTAAAAATTTAATGTCTTCAATAAAATTGCCTGAATCAAGTATACCCATATGGGCACAATATTGTACAGAACAAGATTGGCAAGAAAAATTACGTGAAAGAATAACTTGTCGACAAACGACATTTTTTCTTAATGAAAAAAACTAAGAAAGAAAATGATCTGCACTCTATGTAAATTTTATTTTTAATAAAAAAAACAAACCATTAACCATAGAAGGATTTCATTTTTTTTTCCTCATCTATGCGGTTTTGTAATATGAGTAGAAGCAGAAAAAAAAGGAGAGAGAGACACAGAGAAAGAGGCAAATAAGGTAATTATTTGTCAAGAAGAAAAAAACGAAAAGAAAAGAAATATATATATATATAAAGACATATTCACATCGTTTTGTGTTTTTGGTTCGATCTTTTAACGACATTCAGTGTTTAAATCATCAGTAAAAGATCACTTGAAACATACATTTGTTTGCATACAACACACCACTTTGAAACACAACAACAACAACAATAAATCCGATGTCTACAGTTACAACCAAGGTAAAAGAAAAACTGAATCGTTTTTCATGTTATACATTTGTTACATGATATAAAGAATTATTAGAAATGAAATAATTATCAATAAAAATATTTTTTCATTAAATATATATATATATGCATAATAGAAACACAATGACACTGTGTATAAGACAGATTAAGAAAGACAATAAGAATCTATAGAAAAAAAATAATTGAATTGCAGAAACATAATGGTGCCATGCATGCAAATAAGGCTACTATCAATAGAGTATTTACATATCTGTTGATAGCAAGCTGGAATCTCCCATGCGATTTGCGCTTGTCTTCTTTCCTTTCATTGACATTGACAAAATGAAAATCGACTGTTTTCAATGATAAGTTTTTTCTGTTATTGAGACTGTCTATCATCAAGAGAGAGAGAGCGAGAGGGGGGAGAGAGAAAGTACTAATAACTTAAAGCTTGGCTATTGAACTCTATGTAAAAGTAGTTCATTGACCTTCAAATGGCTTATATTTACCCAGCCTTCTTTCCTTTTTTTTCCACTCTATTTCGTTAATGGTGCGTATATGTATGTCTATGTGCTTACAGATGAGATCAAGCGCAAATTTTTAATCAACTTTTAGAATAGAGTCAATCAAAGTCTTTGCCTCTTTTTCTTTTCTAATACTTTTTACAGTCATCGTCTGCACTACGACCTTATATTGGTTCACGTCGTAATCGGGATTATTTCAACTTTAATTTAAAATCGTCATCATTATCGGACGATAATTGTTTCTCAACGACTCCTACATCGGAGCCGACTATACCAATTGAATCTGAGCAAAAAAATAATTTATCAAATGCAAAAACAGCGGACACTTTAGAAATAAAAGAGGAAGATCGGCATCTAGTGAAGTGTTTCTTATCTACGATTCCACAAGACAAACGACAACTGCATCTGGAAGACGACCAGAAAGCAAAAGGGTTTTTGCCGTCGTCGCCAACTTCCTCACTTTTTCTCTTTCCAACAACTCACAACGATACGCCTTTATCTATCTACGACAATATTTCTTCTTCTTCTTTCGTCAAAGAACAGCAAAATTTTGACTACCCTTCTCGTCAATACGAACAACATTCATATTGGCAACCATTAAATAGTGAGCAAGAAAATAATCAACTCACGATATTAGAAAAATCTGAACAACCACAGGAAGAACAACAAAAACACAAACAATCATTAACAAATTTTATATCAATTCATCGTCCAAACTTTGATTTAAGTGACGTACCCGAAGAAAATAGTTCGCTTTCATCAACATATTCATTGACTGATACTACTGTAGAAAATAATAATAACGATAACCAATCTTATCTTTTTACATCAACACCCATTGTTCCTTCTTTTACGTCAAATAGTCCAATAACAAACAATAAAATTTTTGCTACATTGTTATCTGACCAAAACAATAATAATACACCATTACCTTTACTATCAGATAGTGGAATCGATCAATCTTCCACTATATCAAGAGTTGGTTTAACAACTGATATTCAACGTAAAGCTGATGTTTGTCAATTAAATAATATGTCGGCATTATCATCATTACGATATTCATCAAATCTAGGTACTGGTACAATAAAATCACATCCCTATGATCAACGAATTAGTGATCAAGGTGATAAATATATAATACAACTTAAAACGGATGAATATCAAGAAAATGAATTTACAGTTACACCACGTTATTCATTTAATCAATTAATTATTGATGGTAAACATCGTGAAGAAGATAGTCTTGGTGGTTATATACATCGTGAATTACATAAAATTTTTAACATTCCAAAACATATCGATTTAAATCGATATACATATTCATATGATAAACATACACAAGAATTAATTATTGAAATGCCTTATATACAAACATTATCAGCTAGTAAGGAAAATCAAAATGATTCATCATTTATTTCACCTATACGTAATACAACAGAATCCTTAACTTATTTGCATGGAAATGTTAATCGAAATAGTGGCGGAAATATGTCACCAACGGTTGCGAATCGTTCGAATTATCATTATGATAGCAATAATACAAGTGGTATCGGAACCGTAGCATCTGATACAACATTAATGCGAAGCTCAAATACAGCTGTTGCACCAATTTATGAATCATCAATTGGAAATACAACACCATTTGATTTTGATTTATTTCATCGATCAGCTTTTCGACCACAAATTGTTCAAGCAACATCCGATGATGCGAATAATGATAAAAAATTAATGATGTCTTTAGATCTAAGTGATTATCAAGCTGAAGATATAAAAGTATCTGTAAAAGATCATGAATTAATTGTTAAGGCCGAAAGAAAAATTGAAACTGATACACGTAAATCTCGTACATCATTTTTTCAATCAACTAGTTTACCACCACAAACTGATATTGAAAATCTTCAATCAAATTATATTGATGGGAAATTGGTTATTGAAGCTCCTTATATTGATCATAATAGAAGTGAAAGAAGAATTATTAATACTAGTAGTAGTAGTAGTGACACTAATCAAGGAATGAATTGGTAAGATATATAGTGCATTCTTATGATACGCACAACTAATAAAAAATAAATATTATCACGCTTTTCACACAATAATAATCTCTCTTGCTTTACATTAGTTGATTTATGCACATTTTATGTTATTTCTAATTTTTAAACAGTATTCATAAATATATGTATCTCTGTATATATTGCTTCTTATTGATTAACTTGTGTGTTCGTGTATGTGTAGATTTGTCACTGATGCTTTAATTTAGCCATGAATTTTAACCTTACTAGTGTCATACTACTAGATACAATATTTGTGTTCTTAAATAGAATAAAAAGACTAATAGAATAACATATTCCAATTTAATTTCATCTATTCAATCCCAAGGCTAGTATTCTTTTCATCTCAAGGATTAACTCTTGCCCATCTGCTTCTTGTTTTATATTTTTATAAGGAAAAGAAAAGGAAGTGATTAACTTCAAGGTATGATTTCTTTTTCATCTTAGTATAAAAAAAGAGCTTCTTTCATATATACATATATTCAATCCTTTGACAAATAAATATGTATATTTACGTATTGAAGTGTTAATGATGACGATTGGTGTTCATGAAACCTTCTTTTAGATTTAATTCCATTTTTTTTTCTCTTTTCTTTCGTTATTTTATTATGCATGTGTGTGTATTCAATATTTTAGGCAAACAGTAACTGAATCACAAGAAAAAACCACCGATGATGATCCATTCCAACGGCGAACAGAAACTGTTACAGAATTTGTTCGCGTTCGTCGACTTTGATCTTATTTTCCAACTTGATGTGCAATCAATCATATCAAACGTTTATGTGTGTGTGTAGCATGATAAACAAAAAAAAAAGAAACAAATGATCTATCTATATATGTTTCTTTATTCATTTCTTTGCACACATACAGCCGAATTCTAATGACTGTTAGTTTTATTCACATTTCCTCTTGCTTCTAGAAAATATCCGATCCATACATTGTCATATGCAAAAAACATAAGAACAAATGCACATCAACAAACATTCACAATTATAGATATATATATCTCAATCACTATCAAGATTTAGTCTAAATAAACATTTTTATAGCTATTGGTAAATGAATCATATATATAATACACATTGATTGTCATAAATAAATAGAAAAATTTTGGTCGATCATAGTTATTTTAGCATTGCTTAGATTATTTATACTTATGAAATATGTTATCACAATAATGTATACTAATGCCAATATTTAAATTATTCGTTTGCTTTTTTTTTTTACAGACCATTGCATGCGATAATAATCATAGAGATGAGATAGACTTTGAAATCAATCAAATATATTTGATATATTTCTCAGAATTTGCAATATTCATAATTTCTAACAATTTTTTAATTAGTGATTATTCATACAACAAGAGTTACCCGTAGAAAAGTTCTATAAAAACATTTTTCAAAAAGAAAAAAACTTCTATTTTGCACATGTGTTTTTTTTAATCAAACCTCAAACTCAAGTACGTCAGTTAAAGATGAAATTAAACTCAACGACAAAGAAATCTATGTGAATGCATATTGTAAACGTTTGACAAAAGTACATGCAACCATTGAGTGTTCTTTATTACATCAATCAATTGAAAAAAATATTGAAATAGTGTGTAAAAACACCTCGATCAACCACATATGTTAGATATAATTTATTCACCTAAAGGAAAAGAAAATTATTTTTTTGCTCGCTTAGAATTCTAGATTTCTTCAAAGTTTTTTACTTTTCTTTTTGTATTAAATTTTACGTCTCTCTTTTTTTTTTTTTTATCTCAATCTTATAATCAAAGTAATCTTTTAAAAAAAATGTAAGAAAAGTAAAACAAAGTAAGACTATTTTCATAGTTGATTTAAGACAAACGGACTATCATTATTTCTTTTTCCTGTCTTTTATCAATAAGTTTTTCAAAAGAAACAAATTGAATTATATGAGAAAAAAATAACCTATATTCATTTTTGCTTGACTAAACTACAAGATGTATTTTTTATTATGCGATCGACAAGGTTTCATTAAACATATTTATGGTATCGAATAGATGATTATTAAAATTATATCTTTCCAAATATAGTTTTTAGCTTATGATCAATGTACTCTCACAGCGTAGTCTTTTTTTCCTATTTGAAAAACAGGAATAATGAGTCTATAATTAACTGAAAACTTTCACGTCTCTCTATATATGTTGTATACATATGCATTATAGTTAAGCCGCAATATGCTGTAAATTTGATCTGCTTTTATTAAAAAAAGAACTCAACTGTCATTTTTTCCAGGTTCAATTGATGAAAAAAAAAATCGAGCAAAGACTATTGATCATGTATTATAAGTTTTCAACCGACATTCACATATATTTTTATTAGCCAAAAGCGATAGCGGCACTATGTATGCTATTGTGACACCCACCTACACAATAAATATATGCTTTTGCATTAAAACACGTCCGCCATTTCTAATTGTTCGTGTAGATGACAAATGTGTCGATCATTTGCTAGTAGCATACACTATTCTTAGCTTCACATAGAAATTAGACCGAACTGTTTTTTTTTCTTCTTAGCTTCGATCCAGCATTAATCTAGAGCTGGTTTTTATCGCTGTCTTTTTTCCAATTCCTAGTAGAGATACATATATTCACTGTTGCTTTATCTATTTGTTTTATTTCGTATGTAAAAAAAAAATAAATGGAAGAATGTCGTTTTAGTTTGTTACATTACAGTGATAAATCAATTTCAATAGATCTTATTTTCTAAAGTAGGCGGAGGCATTCACATTCACTATGGTTTTTCTTTGTTCGTCTTCCTGGGAGTTTTCTTAAGTGCTTATAGATTATCAATAAAGAGCGAAATAACGATGTTCGTCTAATTGATTGAACTATTCTATTCATTCATTCTTTCATTCATTCAACCACTTACTCATTTAGAATTCACAATGAGATAGAGAAACCAATATTACGTCAGTAAATCTTAGATAATTTTCTCAACTGTTATGCTCCTTTCATTGTTTACTATTGTCGAAGCTTTAATCAATCTGGACATTAGCATATATCATTGGTAATAAAAAATCTGTCTACTGATACTGTATTCTGTCATGAGTATATAATATGGTAGAAAAAAAACGAGAAAAAATGATGATCTATTGGGAGAGGAAGATACTTCTTTTCAGAAAAAACAATATATATATATATATATATATGTGTTTAAGCATAGTATATATGACAGAATCAAATCTCTGTCGCCAATGACGTCTTACATAATTCGCATTATGACCAACGGGGCATGCTATTCTTGAGAGTAAATATTATCCGTAGATTTTACTCAGCAGCAAAAGTAAGTTATGATTTCATGTTGAATAAGACATGCTGATTTAATAATTATTTTCGAATGGATAGATTTGAATACTAGTTAAAATGTTATATAGACAAAGAAAATAAATAAACCGTGATATAGTTATTTTTCTAGTCAGACTTCATCATCAATAGGTGTTTTTATAGTCGGCGAACAAATTAATTATCAAAATGGCATGTTGGGTGTGACATGAGGTAATAACTGTTAGATGCTTCGTTCTCGAATTTAAATGAGTAGTGAAAGTGAATGCGGAAATACAAGAGAATTTTTTTCTAATAAAATAACACATCTTAATAACAAAAAAAGTCTTATGATCCGGAAATACAATGTGAGTAAAAAGAAAAAAGAAAAAGAAAACGAGAAAGAATAAAAAAAAGAGTGAAAAAAAGAAAGACGTCTAAGCTTTTAACGAGATGACAAACATAGAGACGATGCATCATATTCATTCTTCTAATAAACTGAAGGTAGATATAATACAAGTATTTTTTTTCTGTTTTTCTTTTCTATTTCAAAGACACAAGCTGCTTATATCGATGATCACCAGTGCATATAGAATTCTTTCTTATTTCTTTTTTTTTCTTTTGTCATTGTTGCAATGAAAAATGCATGATACTTGATCTCGACAAAAAAAAAATATTATATATTGAAGTAAGATAATGCGAATGAATATGTTCCAACACAAAATAACACTTAGTTTGTGGGTTGTTTGTATGTATTTATGAAAACATCCCGTCAAAAGAATTTTCTTAAGATTTCCTAGCGTTTGTTTTCATACATATTACATTGTTTGTATTTATTTGATTTGTAACCGGTCACAATTAAAATAATATATTTATATGTTAAAGAAATAATTATAAATTAGACGAGATGTATGAGAAATTTTCGATAATGATTGTAAATGTTTGTTAGTTCAAGAAAATGAGATTGACAAAAAAAATAAAATTAAAAAAAAAAAAAATTTAATTCAATGAACCATAATAGTTTTTAATTTATATAATTGAACTAGTATTTTTTTTTTCCCTTTATTTGTCATTATGCATTCCAGCTGTCTTGTGGAATACGATTCTTAGACCAATACAACGTATAATGAAATACGACGTTGTTAAGATTTGATCCTTTTTTTAATGTTTAGTTATCATGAAAAAGAACTCATATAAAGAAAAAAAAACGAACAGAAACAGAAAGCAGCGAAATAACATAATTATATTGAAGCTAATAATAGTAAACATGCTGAGAAAAAGATGCTATCTATGTGAAAAAGTTTTCTCTCAAGTTTCACAATTAATATATACGGATGATTAGACATTAGTCTGTTTTTTGTTTTATTATATATATATATATCCATTCAGTAATGGTTTTTATTTAATTTTTTCTTGTTGTTTTCTTCTGTTTTTCTTAATCATAAAAGAATAGAATAGAACAGAATCGGAAAAGAACCTATTTTCAGCTTGTTCTTCGACATCTATTTGCTATTTGAATATCTATAGTAAGAATGAAAGACATGTTTGAGTGATTAGACATGTCCTCGATATGTGCTAATGAGAAAAAAAGTGGCAAGAATATTTTCCATTTATTTCTATATTTATTTTAGATATGCATTTAGTTTTTCTATAAAGAAATTCATCGACAGAATGTATGATAAGATTAAAAACATCTTTCAATTTATTACTACTGTTGTCCAACAATTATAATCGTCGAACAACAGAAGGATTTATTTTATTTTCAAAATTATTGTTCTATTGATCATGTGTTATTGTCAACAAAAGAATATTATTAAAAACGTATTTAATAAGAATGAGCGACTTGACTATTATTGCATTATGTCAAGTTCTAGCAAATTTAACTCATAATCGTTGTCATTTACTTGAAAATTCAAATACATGTCGATGTGTTGATAATATCATAGATCCAAGTATGATAATTTACAATTGTTTTGTTTTTTGATAATAAAAGAATTCATTTTATTTTATTGTTCTTAGAACCAACTACGGTTGTCAGTACGGCACCGGATATAATGTTGAGTGAAGTATTGTTAATATTTTTTGTTTTAATATTATGGCTTTCAGCTATTGGATTTTGTTTAAATCAATATAAATCACTTCGTCGTCTTGAAACTCAAGTACATTATTGTGTTAATAGAAAAGATCCATTAAATATAGGTGATATTAAAATCGTTACACGTGAACAAGATTCTATAATATATAAGAAAAAACGTTATTCAACTGCTCCTGATCCAAATGTTAATCGTGAGGAATTGAAAACTATGCAATATGTGAAAGAATATTTACCAAAAAATATAACAACATCATCAACAGTTACAACAGGAGTGCTTGTTGTTAGTCGAGAAAATATTACTACTAATATACCTGTATCTACAACAACAATATCTTTGTATAATCCATCAGGATCTTTAACACAAACACCTTATATTCCATTAAGTACACATAATGAACTAGCCGAAGAACAACAATCACAATCACCATCTCCATCATTATTAGAATCTAATGTTTTATTAGAAACCGACACTAATAAACCTATTGATTGCATGTCTTATATTAATCGAACAGGTAAAAAAAAACCAAAGAAAATATGATTTTGAATATATTTAATTCATTTGAAGATTATATCATCAACTCATCATTTAATCGTTTTTCTATGTTAAAAGATAAGAAAAGAAAAGAATGAAAAGTTTTAATTCTATAAAGATTTGTCAATCATTAAGCTCTTAAGACTAAATCTTTTTATAGTAATATCAACACATGACAGAAACAAACATATTTTTAATTATAGTTCAATCAATGAACTAAATGAAAAACAAATATAAGAGACAAACATGATCTTCCATATAAATAGCGTTCTATTAGAATAATTAATAGAATTCAATTATTTGATTATACAGATGAACTTGAATATTAGAAAAGCATACAGACTACATTCTAATTTTTTTCAATACATTCTCGAAGAACTAATAAGTCTATAAGAAAATATGAATATGAGTCATGAATGTAATTTAGAAATAATTTATATCTTTTACAAATACCATCTAGAAAAAAAATCTCATTAAGATTGTTTTATAAGCGAAATGAAAAGATGGAAAACTATGATAGATCTGACCTGGTTCATATAATTAATAATACAAATTATATTCTACAGAATGTTGTTCGATAATTATCAAATCATAGAATTGGAAAAAAAGAAATATTGTTACTTGTAGTAGTAACTTTGTGTCTTTCGAAATTTTAATTATTAGTTTATGTTTTTGTTTTTTTTTGTTGAATTAAGTACATTGAAAGATAAATACAAGAATATTTTATCAAATTTTATAAAAACTATGCTTATCATAGGTATCATGATAGAAACATAATTAATAGTTCAAAACTTTTTGAACATCAACATCTTAGCTTAAAGATCTTTAATTGATAATTATGGCTACGTTTTTATTTTTTTTTGATTAACAATTAGTGTTCTAATTATATGTTCTTCAGATATTCTTGCACTTAATGTCCTAATATATCAAGAAATTACACTCAGAATCTAATTTTTACTATAGTCAGTGTAAAGCTCGAGCATAGTCTATTATTTTTTTCTATTTCCTTTTAGTGTGGTTCAATTAACAAATAACTACATCTAAGTTTTTTTCTCCATGTTTATTTTGTTTTCGGTACTTCCTTAACTTAACAATTGAAATGATTGTTTTTATGAACTCTATATAACATTGAATAATTTTTATGATTAAAAAAAATTCTCGACAAATATCAAATATCGAAATATAGTCATAAAAGTTTACTTCCATTTTTTTCACAAGAAAGACGATGTAAATATTTTATACAAAAAAAAAAAAAAAAAAGATTTAATTATATATTTTCGATGTTTATTTAAATACAATACAATAAGTAAATTTTATGTTATTGAAATATAACTATTTATCAATATTTTTTAATTAGTAAAAATAATCATAGTTTTCTATTTGATCTTATCATGAGATTTATTAGATTTGTATTTTTAAAGAAATATTTTTTCTTTCATACAATTTTTAATGACAAATAAAAAAAAATGTAAAGAAAAATGAACGATTTATAATCTTTCAACTTATATTGATTTCATTATTATCGTCTAAGATATTTTCTTTTATATATAAGTACATGAATAATACCATCTAATCTTTCAAAACTAATATCTTTTCAATAAAATATTCGAAAAAACAAAAGAAATTTAATATAAAGATTTAATTTTTAAAGGAATTTGGTTTTGTTTTCTTAGAAAGTGGTCGCTTATCAACAGGTCTTACTGTACCATATATTTCGACACCTAATAGTTTACCTTCATCTTGGAATGGTTCACAGATGCATGAAACAAGTTTTTCAACACAACATTTATGTGTACCGTCAAATAGTCTTCGATCTAATCGTTATTCTGATGGTAATATATCTTTAACTGTTCCACAAATTTTACAAAAAAATTCAGAAAATCCAGATGAACAATTACTTGATCCTCGACTTATATCACGTACAGTTCGTCGTAGTTTATTAGCTTTACATCGTGAAAGTCATGAAAATATTCATATGCATCGTACTAAAGAAAAGACTCAATCAGAAAATGATGTTCATATTGCATTTATACCATGGAAAATAAAAATGAAATCAAAATTAAAACGTACTCATCATCGTAATTATCCACAACAACAACAACTAATTCGACCACATTCAAATACAGTTTCAATTTTACCTATACAACAAAATAGTAATGATCAAGAACGACGAATATCAGATTATGCAAGAATGAATCATGAATATCGATTTTCAACTCCACCATCACGTAATTGTCCGTTAACAACAACTTTACCATTTCGACGAAGTTTAAGACATTATCCAAAATATACAACACAAAGTACAACAGAAAGTGAAACAACACAAAACGATTTACCAATGATTACAAGTATTGATGTATCAGTCAATAATGATGAAGCAACTAAAACAATTGTTCAAACCGATACACCATACCAATTATCATCATTGTAAATTTTCATTTGTTTTTCTTTTTATGTATATGTCTATTTTCGTTTTTTTTTTCTTTTCTTATACAATACCGGTGAATTTTTTTTAATATATAATTCACATAATTAGAAAAAAAGATTGATCAATAAATGCATCGATTTGTGAAGTTCTTTTGACAGACTATATTTTGTTTGAGAAGCAAATACTGATTTTTGTTTTTTTTATTCATGTTTTCTTAACAGTAGTTTCTGTCGTCATTGGTTGATGTCATGATTTTAGAATTTTTTTTTTAAAGCCCTATATGAGTTTCGGTATACTTGACTGCACTGGCATTGAATAAGGACAAAAAAAGAAAAACAATCATTTTTTCTTTTCATACGAAATATATAAATGCAAAGAGAAGAAAAAACGAATTAGACCAAAAAAAAGAAGCTTGGCTTTCGTTTCGTTTTTGTATTAAGTAAATATTGCACCCACTTACACTAGCGGAGAAAAAAAAGAGGCAGGGAGAGAAAGATGATGACGACCAACACAAGAATATTTATGTCGAATAACAACTTATTTTGCTTCATACAGTTGTAAAAAAAAAAAGAAAGTTGTGCAAGCAAGAATGCAACGAACATTATTCTTTAAATTCGTATTTACTTTAATTATATTAATCGTATCATCGAATTGTGAGACACCTATATGTGATATAAATAATGATGTTCTAATATGTTTTGTCATAAACACTTCGTCTCTTGTTAATACAACTTTTAATAATTCATATGGTTACAATTCGATCAAAATAAAATATAATGGATATGTTAAATTGAACTTATTAGCACCATCAATAAAGCCAATTCTTATAGAACCTTTTGATGAAACCGACAATCATATACTTCAAATATTAACTGTAGATGCAAATGCTTCTCGTATTGATATACGAATTCGTCTTTCATCAAATCAAGCATCATTGCCATTATTTACAACGACTAGTAGTGTCACAGCACCGAAAACTACGTTAAGTATTAGTATAACACAAAATATAATGGATTTAAAAGATTTTAAAATATTTGATGATACTTCAACTTCATTGATAATGAATTTTGCTAATTATGAAGTTGTTTTTGAACGAACTAGTATGTTTGCTGAAGTAAGAAAATATTAAATAACTAATTTATTAAATGAATATATTATTATATTTTCTTTATCTATTTTATAGACATTATATTTACATAATCTTATTCGTCTATTAACAAACATTGCAAGTATAACTATTATTGGTTATAATCATGTTCTTGTTGTTAGTAATACAGAAATGCCATTATTTACTAAAACTGATCAATTATCATTAAAATTTGTTCGTTTATATGATCCAATTCTTGATAAATTTCCTTCTTTAAAAGAATATGTTATTGAAGAATGTAAATATAATAAATCGGCACAATTTTTAAAGTCGTCAGGAATTCATAATCTATCAATAAATATGAAAAATAATATACCAGACGATTCTAGTTTACCATATCATCCTAAAACATTTGAAGGTTTTCAAACATTAATAAGTTTAACTCTTATGGAACCAAAACTTAATTCATCATGTTTACAAGCAATTAAACGACAACCAGATCTTAGATATTTATTTTTAAGTCTTGGTTCATATTCACAATCTGATATGGCTGATTGGATGTTAGATATGTCAAAAGTTAGAACTTTAATAATTAATGGTATATCAGATTTAAATATATTCCCATCAAAATTTTTTAATAAATTACATGCCATAGAACAAGTTACATTACAAGGCACATTCGAATTAGAAAAGCAAGACATATGTGTTTTTACTCGTATTAATATTCAACAAAATCCAAAAAATCCTATTATACAATTAAATAATGAAGATAAATCAGAAGATAATATATGTGCCAATATTTATATAACAGCTATCAATCAAAGAACAATAGAAGGTATTAAATGTCCTCCAAACGATACTTTTGATGACTGTGAACGATGGGCTAACGCAGAACAACGATGTAAACTTGTTTCATATGAAAGTGAATGTTTAGGTGAAACAAATAATCCTGGTAATATATTTTCCTATGATAAAAGTTATCTATACGATTTTTTTAAAAATCGTTCATGGTCATATCGGTCAAGCACTACAACAACATCATCAATAACACAACCAGGTTCAGTAAATATGGGTGCTATTATTGGTGCATTATGTGGCCTTGTCATAGCTATGTTAATTCTTGGTACGACAATTTTTTGTATTTATCGTTCTCGTCAAAGAGATTCGGCGAAAAAAACCTTATCAACAGAAGAAGAAAAATATAAACCTTCATCAGATGACATAACACATGTTTCAATTGCAACAAGTAAATCATCAAAATCATCACGTTATGCATTGGAAAAATCATTTTTTCCTCCAATGCAACCTAATGATGAAATAGCACCACCACTTTATACAGCACCATCTGAATCAGTTGGTTCTGTATCTAATTATCGTAGACAACCAGTACCAAGTGCTCCTCGTGAAAGTGTATTAACTAATACAACACATTTCTACGAAACAGTTGACAATTAATATAATGAACAAATAAAAGAAAAAGATGATACTTTCGTATTTTTATTTTTTCTCATTTAAAATGAAACGCCGTTCTTTTTTTTTAATTTTATAAATATAATCATTTAAAAGTCTATTTCAGTTGTTCCATTTTCAGGTTCAACATGTGTGCCAATAATAAGAGAATGTTGAAATGTATTCAGTTTGAGTGAACTTTTTTCTTTATGTAATAATGCTTCACCTATAAATGTATAAAGAAATTATTGTTTTTTAAAAGACATTTTTCTCAATAAATCTCATCTAATACATACGATTGCCAACAAGTTCTAATGGCCAATGTGTGCATGTAACTTTATCGCGAACAAATTGTTCTCTTAATTGACGAAATTCTTCTAAATTTTTAAATTCATCCATATCAGGTACAAACATTGATAATGGACTCATACAAATATAAGCAACAATACGTAATAATTCTATTTGATTATTTTTTTCTTTATTAACAATTGCTGGTGTATTACAATGTATAGAACGAGAATCCCAAACAATAAGATCACCTGCATTACATTTAACTAATCGAGGATGAAATTTTTCCAGTAATGGATATTGATCAGGAATTCTTACATAATCACCCCAAAAATATCTATTAGTTGTTGATTTTAATTTACTAAAATGTTTAAGTGAATCAGGAACAACAACAAAGCCACCAGTTGATTCATTATTATCAGTTAATGAAACAAGACCTTGTATTGAACATCGATCAGGTTTCTTAAATGGATTCTAAAATAAACCTACATTTATAAATTCATACATGATAATAGAAATCTATTTACTTGATCACAATGATACCAACCACTTGATGTTTTCCATTCTTTATTTAAATGCCAATTACGAAAACAACCAGCTCCATCAAAAGAAACAAATAATTCATTAGAATTCCAAATATGAGAAAAAACCTTTTTTATATTAGGATTTCCTCGAATAAACCACATGAATTCAGATTGACCGATACCTTCATCATTCAATAGACCAATATGAGGCGTGCCTGGCCTAAATATTTACAAATATTTTTAACCTTTAATCATTTGTTTTACAACATAAAAAGGACAAAACAAAACTTACCATGATTCATCCCATGTTTTTGGATTATTACGTTGAATATGATATGGGTATTGTAAACTTTCTAAATGTTTCCATAATAAATCCACACTATGATTAACTTCATCATTGGTAAGTATGTTGCTAAAGACAGCATAACCATGTTCATTGAGATGTTCAATACCTTGTTGAAGTTCTTCAATATGATGAACAGAAAATCGAGGAGAAATCACATCATAATCCACTGGTATATCGCTTATTTTCGTAAATTTTGATTCATTTCTTTGATTTTTTGATGTTGAGGAATCTACTTGACTCATAGTTTAAATATAAAACTTTATTATTATGGTCTTCTCATTAAATGACTCTGATTATAATATAGCTCGTGTAATAAAGATAAAAGAATAACGTAATGATATATATATATATATATATATATATATATATATTACATAAAAATGATGAAATAATTCAATGTGTCAATCACATACTTTTTTTGAGTGTTTAGACAGCTAGCTTTTTTAAATACTCTCTTGATGATTCATAAAGAAATTCATTGAAAAAAAAAGGAAGTAATAAAACTTTCATGTCTACTGCTCATTTAAATTCGTAGACTAAAAAAAGGTGACCCATTTCAAATGCTAACAAATATAATTTTTCTTTTTCTATAACAAGAATTCTTTGCTAATGAAAATTTCGTCATTTCTTCATTAACTATTGTCAAATCATATGGTGACTATTCAAGAGGGTTACAACAATAGAAATATAAAAGACTCATAAAAAACACATATCATGTGGCGTAGAAAATTTGTCCATACAATCGCGACATCTAATTGATCTTCTACCAAACAGGAGTCAACTAAACATAAGAAATGGAATTCAATTCTATTTGATGTATTTTTTTTTTGTTTCTTATGTATATCTGATTGTTTTTTTTTTTGTATTTTCTTTAGATTCTTCAATAGATCTTTGTCTAAAATTCTTTATTTCCCTTACAGATGGCTGCTATTGTCAATCGTGTCACAACTCTTGTACCTAAACTTGCACTTCGTAAGTTTTATTGAATTATTTTCATATCTATTATAAAATGATTTAACTTTTTTTTAGCGGTGGCACGTTATGGACAATCAAAGTTAACTCGTTTTTGGTATTTTGCTCGTGTTGAATTACGTCCACCTATGCCAAATGAATTTGATCAAATACAACAAGGTATTCAACGAATAGTTCGATCAGCTTCAACAGGTGCTTGGCGTCAATTGACTGTTAAAGTATGTTTAATTTTTAATTTGAACTATTTTCTATTTAACTTTCTTTTTTTTTGAATTTAGCAATTTGCTTTAAATTCACTCGTCGGTCTTGAAGTTATGTTTTGGTTTTATATTGGTGAATGTATTGGTCGTGGTAGTATTATTGGTTATCGACCTGGACGAAGTGAAGGCATCCCAGCTCCATATAAATACTTTATGTGATCCATAGAAAAAGAAATAAATAGTTGGTAGAAAAAAAAAAGTCCTTTCTCTATTCATAGCACAGTGACCATCATCTATGAGCTTCTCTTTTTGTTTCTCTCCTGTTGTCATCCATTTGTGTCACTTTAGTTCTTTTCAAATAAAACAAAAAGAAACTACAAACAATGAGTTTAGTATTGAATAAGATTTGATTAGTTATGCTTTATTTTCTAGATGTATAACAATTATTAAAATGAATGAAACAGTTATGGTACGAACAAAAGTAAATGATAGTAATGTTTTATCGACAGATAAAATTGAAATTCAATTACAATCAAAATTCAGTGGTAAACAAAATTCTACAGATCAAATACAACGACAAAAAACATCACCATTAGAACTTGTTATTCTACCAACAACTGAAAATGATATTATGGTACAAAGAGTTTGGTTTTTTTTCTAATGTAAATATTTCTAAATTATTGTCTTTTGTATTTCAGTTTCCAAATGTAATTGATCTTAATGTTGGTGGTTTTTATTATACAACTAGTTTATCAACATTACGTAAATATGAAGATTCAATGTTAGCAGTTATGTTTAGTGGACGATATAGTCTTGTAAGAGATAAAACTGGACGTATATTTATTGATCGTGATGGACGTTTTTTTGGGTAAGACAATGAACAAAAAATATTTAATTCATAAAATATCGAATCTTTTGTTAAAAATAATTGTCTAAACATTTGCTTTTGTTATTTTTTATGAGGAAAAAACAAAAGAAATGATTAATTATTGTTTTTTTTAATATTCTGTGTAAATTCTAATGAAAATTTTCATTAATATAACTATTAAAACTAAATAATGAAAGTTGTTTATTTTTCAATTTTAGTCATATATTAAATTATATTCGTTGTAATCAAATGCCAATAGAATCAATTGCATTAGATGTATTACATGAAGCAGAATTTTTTTGTATTACTTCTTTAATAGCTAAACTTGAAAATTCAAGTCCATGTGTTATATCATTACGTCGACGAGAATCATTTCGTCGTCTTATACCTGATTATGAACATATGAAAATGGATATTATTAATAAATCAATTGAAAAACGTTCAGCATTTCATGAATCACGTGTTGTTATAACACAACTTGATCATACTAAATTAAAAGGAACAATACCTTGTTATAATTGTAGTCGAGAATTTGTTACAGTTAATCATGGTATACTAATATTTATATGTAGTATATTTATATGAATAACTTTCTTTTTTTTTCATAGCTTGTGCTTTTGATGGTCTTACAGCTGATTTACAAATTCAACAACAATTAAAACCAATTCATTCAGATATAAGTATTGATATGGATAAACTTATTTCGTAAGTAGAAAAATAAAATATTAATTTTGTTATTTTATTCTTTTTTTTGTTTTGTATTTATTTAGATTTGTTGTTGATGAATTAGTTCATGATGGTTTCAAAGCTACAGCTGAACGTGTTACATGTCGTTTTAGTGTTCGTTGTCAAAGTTGTACTCTTAGTGGTTTATATACAGCCGGTGGAATATTAGCACCAAGAGAATGTCAAAATATTGCTCATATTATTAAATTTATCTGGTCATAAAAGAATTATATATATATTTTTTTTCTTTTATTGATTTATGATAAATTATATATTAGTAGTGTTACGCATGTTTATTCTAGTCAATATCATGTGCGAGTTTCTTTTTGTAATCTCGAGCAAAGTATTTATTTATGTTTTTTTTTTTTTTTTGAAAAATCTATTGTAATACGTTCCTTTTAATTCTATTTAAACAAAAGAAAAATATAAGAATGAGATATATATTGTATTTTAATATATATATATATATAGATGACGAACGAATTTAATGCACATATTGAAAAATTTATTAATTCATTGACTGAAAATCCACTAGAAATTCATTATCAAGGTTTTGATTTTTCAAGTGTAAGTGATAGTCGAACACAATTAACAAAATTCAATTATGATAAAAGCAAAGTATCATTTCTTAATCTCGAGATGGTAAGAATAGAGATGATATTTTACACATATTACTTTATTTTATTAGATTGCAGATATGTTTCAAGTATTTACTGCTGTTCACAGTGCTGTTGAAAAAAATTCATCAAGAGATTTTTGTGTCGAAGTACCACATCGGTTATCAAATACAAAATCGGTACGAATTTAATGAGATATTGACGTGTGTACATTACGATCCAATTGTTCAGGCTGAAATTGAACTATAAAATTAAGCAAAACAAATATGACTACCATATAAATTCTCTTCCTATTGCATTAGAAGACCCTAGTGAAGGAATGCGGCATCGAGCGTAATGAAAGACTTTCCTCTCCTCAATTAATTAATTTTTCAAAAAAAAAGTGGAACGTTAATTAGTATATCTACATCAAAATATGCCTTGTTTCCAGATTTTTGAGCTGACAATCTGAAAATCGATGTTCTATTGTGAAAAAAAGTTCAGAGCAAGATTAATAGTATTCGAAAGTTTAGTTTGTATGTATATTGCTTCATATGTAATTTCTATCACAAAAATATCTTGTAATTCATTCTCAATCAAAAACAAGATATGCCTACTTTTAAGAATAAATGTTTGAAGATCATTCTTTTAAGCTATATTCAAAGAATTAATTGTTGTTTTTTTTTTGAAAATTCCAGTTTCTTTAGAAAGAGCTTGATAGAATCATCAGCGAACATCTAAGTTACTTTATGCAAAAAAATAAGCATATCCCTTTCTCTTAATATTATCATTTTAGACATATGCTTAGATAGGCGAAAAGATTTTAGAACCTGCTTGTCTACCTTTGAAGTTGGCTTATGATAGTTTCCAGTTGCTTCTATTATCAGGATTGAAGGTAGTATTTCGATAGTCATATCTGATATGAAACTCATGCTTTCATATATCATTTTGTTTTTTTTTTCTGGGAAACTGAAGTTAATTGTTTGAAGAGATAAACATTGAAGAAAACAAAGATTTCTCACAAAAAGCGAGCTTCTATCATGAAGCTTTTTCATTTCTCAAAAGTTATTCGATTATGTTGATTTCAGCATATATGTAGCGTGTTATCTAAACTACAACTTTTTTATAGAAATTTTTTCCATCACAATTTCAGTGGAGTTCAATTTTTTAATTCTGTACACAGGGCTTCAATTCGATGTGCATTTTTACTGATTCTGTCATGGCTTTTATTTCAATAATTTTTCACTTTGATGGGCTTCATGCCATTGAGACACTAACAATGTAAAATGAAAAACATGTTATTTCGTAGAGGTTGGACAGGTTAAAATCCTTTCTATTATCTTGTTTTGAAAACATAGATCACATCTTATGGTGTTCATCATCAATTGTAAACAGCGAAGTAGATGAACCTTGAAATCTGCTGTTAGCACGTTCGTCGATAGGAAAGACGTCATTGTGAAGAAAACTAAACTGAATCATGAGTTTTTTATTTTCAAAATTTTCGAATATATGCTTAACACTAAAAATTAAGAAGAGTTTAATTATTGCCATCAATGTTCATCTTAGTAAATTTCTATGTCGTAGTTCTTCCTATTTTTATCGATAAGAAATATATTTACAATACGAAGAATGAAATATTCTTCTTGAAAACCTCTCTTTGAATGAAATTTATATGGTTTTTTTTTTCAATCATTATTGAAGTTTTATGGAAATTAAAAGTTAATACTTAACAGATTCTTTTGATTATGTACAGAAAAATTTATTCCGATGTTGTTTAATTGTCAGGTTGGTGATGCATTACGTATGTTTGGTGGTTATGGTAAACCATATATACTTGTTGTTTCCATACTTGATCGGTCACAAAGTGAAGAATTATTTGAAAACATTAGTAAAATTGAAAATGTAACGAAAATGACCAAGGAACAAATGCAACAATGTATGAGCAATAATTTCGATAATATTCGAAAAGTAAGAAAAGAAAAAAAAATAAATTTTGAATTTAATATTTTCTTTTTCAAGTATTATTTTGGAACGACAAGTGATCAAGAACAAGCTGCTTATGAAAATCCCATTGGTGAAATTGTTACTAAAATGGTTGCTTCTAAACATCTCTGATTTACTGTTATTCTGTTTTATAATTCAAATAAATAAAATAAAAAAATCATTTTTTTTGATAATGTCCATATTTATGGACATATATCATGATATTTACACTAGACACAATCATAAATCCATTCTTCATATTTTCATATTTTTACACATTCAGTATTAAAAGATCAGTCTCTATCGATTTATTATTCTCTTAATCGTAATATTCAATATATATATATATATATGAAAGTTAAGGATATAATTTATTTCTTGTACAGTACCGAGAAAAAAAAAGAAACAGAACAGATTTTTTTTTTATTCGTTCCTCTGCACTATTTCAATACTCATCATTGTAATTGTGTTTTACTTAGAAAAAAAGACGCAAGTATTTGTTACGAAAGTCCAAGTATGTAGCAAGTTTTGTTTTTTTTGAAGAAGGTTGAAATATATACATATATATATATGTGTTATGATTCAGGCAACTTGCATATTGCATATTTACATAAGGCACAAGCAAGAGCAATACTTCTACAAATCATTATTATCAATCGCTTAAGCAGGAATTCTTTTATTCTGTTATTTCTCGATTAAATTAGTAATTTTCTACCATTGAAATATGGGCAATCGAGTATATTTATATGTAATATTTCTTTTTCTACAAAAGTTAAAATTATTTTAAATCTAGAATGACAGTCAAAGAAAAAGTATGAAAAGAACAACACCAAATATTGAACAAAATCGAAATAGATCTAATCATCAACAAGTCATTGATCTAGATGAAATTGTTGAAAAATGGGTTTGGAATATGTGGAATAGAACAAAAACGAAATCATTAGCTCGTTATAAGTAAGCATCCATGCATCTTTGTTTTATACTCAATATGTCTGCCATACAATGAAAGGAGTAATAATTAATTTTTTTTTTGCCTATATAATTAACATATAATACTTTATTGTATTTGCATTGTATTGTATTGTATTGTATTGAAGGTGATTGAATTAGAAAAAACAAATTTCATTTCTTTTTTTTTTGTTTTATTTGACTTAGACGTGAAGAATTGCTTGTCATAATAAATTGGAAACATGTTGTATTCATACAAAATGATACACATTTTTATGGTTCACCACCTGTACGTTTACCAAAATCACAAATACTTTTTCGAACAAATTTTAATAATAATACATCTAATGAACATTCTTATATATTTCAAACAGAACGTTTTACACGTTCAATATTTGAATTTAAATTTATACAAAGTCTTACAAAATCACAAGAATCAGCAGTCATATTGCGTTTACCAGAAGAAGTTGTTGAATTAGATGGAGGTATAAAACGTGAACAATCTGTAGAATTTGGACAAGATACGTAAGTAAATATTTTTGTTTTTCAAAAAAGAATACTATTCTTTTCTTTTTTTTTTATTATTTTTTCATTTTTTAATTAGTATAAAAGAATACAAAATGCGTTGGAGTGTCAATACTAATGTGCGTGTTGCACCTTATACACGTACATATGCTGAACTAAATATTGATGAAGAAGAATTTCATGGTGATTTTACTGTATCAATTCAATTTTTTGGTCGTATTACAGCAACAATAGCAACTCGTCAATCACCGAATACATATGTAAAATTTATTGATGGTGATATTGTTCAAATTATTCGTGAAGCTATGGAATATGATAATTCATTATATAGTTTTGAAATTTTTGACGATAATCCACCTGTAGTACAATTTACAATGCGTGGTAAATGTTCATTTCGATATGGTATTCAACAACATGTTATCCTTAAGCAAGAATCATTAAAATCATCATCATCATTATCTTCTTTTCTTAATCAAAATTATATTTCATCAATTCGTTCTAATTATCGACCAATTCGAACACAGTTAGCATCATCAAATAGTTCTCTTCATTTACATATTGACGATGATGAACAAGTATAAAGTTTTTAAAAAAAATCAATATTCTATGTTAAGTAGATGTTGAAAAGAACTGTTTCAAGATGTCATTTTCTCTTCCAAATAAAAAGAAAAGATTGTCAATAAAAAAAAAATTTCATGAAGACTATCGAGAACAAAAAAAGAAATTGTGGAACTATCTACATTGTTCTTTTAGTATTATTTGTTGTTGCTTCTTTTTTTGGTAATACAAAACTAAGTATAAGTGTAGCAAGTAATGTTAAAGATGAAGCAGCTGTTAAAAGTACTCGTAATCCTTTGAACCATAAAGGATAACCTGGTCTAGTTACATCGTAAAAAGCAAAACCTTGAAGAGATGTTAATGCCCAAACAATCGACCATCGACCAGGCATAAGTAATGCAAACCAAGCAGCAATTGATGGAAGAATTGAATATGTATATTTTTTCCAATCATTTGATTCTTCAAGTAATGTTCCCCAACGGATACCACCTATATATGAAAGAATCGAAGCTGAATAAGCTAATTGAGTAAATGCTAAATCTGGTAAATATATTCCTGTTGAATACATATATAAGGGAACAGCAGCAAATGGAACAAGACCAAGTAAACCAAAGGATAATGGAACTGTCGGTGCATCTTTGACATGACGAAGATAACGAAATTGATCGAAATAAGTTGATGAGTGTTCAGTATTATATCGTCGTAGGAGTTCATTTTTTGTAAATTCATTTGAATATGTTGTACGAATATTTGCACTATTCCATAATGGATATTTTATCGTACGACGAACTGATAGAGACGATAAAGATCGATATGTAAAGGAAGTCAACATCTAAAAAAACAGATTTTATTGAATATTATTATCAACTATTGAGATTCGTCTAGAATCTAAAGATTATTTTCAGGATGTGTAATTTTCATCATATATCAGGTTTTTAAAGTTTGAAATTATTTTACTAACATCTCAAAAATCGTTCTATTCATAGATTCTTTAAGATAGTTTTTTTCATATGTTAGATAGTCACGTTAGTGTTTTTCTATGATTTCTGAGTAGAGCGGTTCAATAGGAATTGATTATCACTACAATCACTTTGGTATTTATTTTCATTGCTTGTGTCGCTTATATACTCTAAAAATGAAGAAGGCATTTCCATGACAACAATCATAAAAATGATAATAAATGTTCAAATTTCACTTCTTTTTTTTGACAAATATTATGTGGAATCAAGGCACATCTACCTACTTTTCCACAACAAATTTAGTAAGAAAAAGCTAAACTTATGAAGGAACTTCTCTAGGTGTCAAATCACAATTCGGTCGAGATGAAATTTATTGGACGAGTACTAGAAAGTAATAGAAAAAGTCTGGAATTGTTTGATTTTCCGGGTCTTCATGTTCGAAATATCGAAATTCTACTAGATTTTTCAGCAAAAACCTGTAATCCTCTTAAAGCCACAGGACAAATCAGCATTCAACTTTGAACTTAGAGCTTTGCACGAACAAAGGTCTTTATGATATTAGTTGGTTGTACAACTTTTATCTTTTCTATTGTTTTCTTTCTAAAGATCTAATTAGATGAACAAAATTTTGCTTTCACACATAAGAGAATTTCGTATATTGAATATCTCAGAATAGAATATAGTAGAAAAGTTACAACTTGTTCAACGAACTAATCTCATTGAGAACTTTGTTTATGCAAAATTTGAAGTCGAAACTCTGATATGACTTGTGGAAGATTAATATGTTCTTTTGGGAAATTTAGTAAAACTTTGATATCTCGAGAAAGAAGTCCTGGAAATACTAAACCATTCTAGGCTTGTCTCTTATTCATCAAATTAACCTCATCTAAATCGAAAAGCGATTTGACACGTGAAGAGGTTCCTTCATAAGTTCTGAAAGAGTGACTAGAAGTAAAAACCAAGTCATATTTTTTTTATTCTACAAAATTTGCCTAAAAAGAAGAAGCTTATATATCATTAAAACTTTCTGTTTATATATGAAAATATGAATAATGGTATCATTTGAAATCTTATGCAAAAAGAAAAACTTTTGGTACTATTATCAGTGTAAAACTATCAATAATATCTTAATATAAAGGAACATAAAAAGTGAGCTTTTTTTTTACTCTCGATTATTTCTTTGTTTTTCAAAATTTGATTTGTTGTATATCGTATAATTAAAATCTGAGATAAACAAAAAAAAAAAAGAAAAAAAAACGAAATTACACAACAAAGAAAGACAATTGACAATAGTTAAAAATTTTTTGTGCAGTCTAAAACAAACGTAAACATTAATTTATCAGTTAAAATTCAAGGATGAACATACATCCATTTGAAAAGATATATTAAACATGGAAGAATGTGAACATACAAAGTAATTTTTGTTTGATTGTTTCACAAAGATAGAATACATATATATATATATATATATGTTAATGTCATTTCTTATTCATTTATTGAATGATTTGTTGTATCAATTAATTTATTATTCATTAAAGAACTAGTTGTTGATTCATTATCATCATTGATCTGATTTGTTTTAAATTTTTTCGCAGAATTTTTTAATGCTTGTCGTTTATTACAAAACCTAAGAATGTATTTAGTTTTTGTAAATAATATTATATAACAAGAAAAAAAATTTATTAATTCATACCAAACACGAATTACTTCACGATCATAATTTAATTGTTGTGCAAGTGTTGACATATCAACACCTGAAGGATGTGTATTTAATTCAAATGCATCATTTAATCTTTCAAGTGCTTGAGGTGTAAATGATGTACGTCGTTTGCGTTTTTTTGTATTAAGATCAGTAACAAGTTCATGTAAATTTGATGGACCATTTTTTAGTCTATGATAAAATAAAAAAAGAAAAATAATATTTTCGAATAATAAATCAATTTCTTGTTTTTCTTTTTTTTTACCGATCACCATATTTTAATTCAGCTTCATGCATCCATTTTTCAAGTACCGGTTTAATTTTTGAAGCACTTTTAGGTGTTATATCAAGTTTTTCAAAACGACATATAGCTGATTGACTATATGCTGGTCCACGAGTAACACTTAATGCTTGACCAACTTGTGTTTGTGTTAAACCTAATGCTAATCGACGTAATTTAAATGCTTTGGCAAATTGTTTTATTTCTTCTAAATTAATTCCATCAATAGTTGTTGTTGTTGTTATTGCTGTTTCATCTATAAGAGAGAGAAACCAAAAAAAAATAATAATAATTTGATGAAAATTAATTAACTAAATAATTAATTAATTAATTCATAATCGTACTGTTATTAATAGGTAATGATGCAAGTGTTGTAGCTATTGTTGGTGAAGTATCATCATCATCTAATGTTGATTTTTCATTTGTATCCGATGAACTAGATGAATATTAAATCAATGAGAAACAAAAAAAAAGAAAATGTATGAATTCAATATGAACCTGCAATCAATTGATTCATGTTTATATTTCATATTCACAGGTGAAATTGTTCTTGTCTTTATGTTGAAAAGATAACAATTAATTCTTATTAAATTTAATTAATAATTACTTACGGAAATTGATTCTGTATTTAATGATTCTTGTATTTTGTTATTATCGATAAGTGTTGGTATTGAACAAAGTGCTTTTTTTTTTAAAGAAAAATCGGAAGAAAATAATAACATGTATCTAAGAAAAGAAGAACTTACAAAGATTTTGTTGTTGAAAAAAGAGAGCACTATTATTGAGAAGTAATTGTAATGCATTTGCAAGAGGATTATTAGTAAATGATAATAATGGCGGACAAGTTGCCCCTAATCATGGATAGAAATAAATAATTAAATAGAAGAAAAAAAATAAAAACAATGAAATGTAATATTCATTTACCAGAAAGTAATAATTGAGTAAGAAATTGTTGTTGTTGTTGTTGTTGAGAGGTGAGATTAGGAAAAAGTGTTGAAAAAAGTGGATTCATATGAAAATTTGATGATGTACAAAATATATTCATGGAATTAACTAAAATTTTCTAACATTGAAAAAAAAACATACAAAATGAAAGCAACAACAACAAAAAAAATACCTTCTGATTTTCGAGATTTGTCCGAAATAAGTGGAAGTGTCATATGTTTATATTCTAAAAAGAATATTCAAATATATTTGACTTATCTATATTTTAAAATCGACTGTTTATGCATCTTTCTCTCTGTCTCTCTCTCTCTCTCTCTCTCTTCCCTTCTAATTTCAACTTGACTATTTATGTATTCTTATCGCGCGCGTGTGCTGTTCTCGCACTTGCTCGAGAATGTGAAACACACCACACATACTCTATCACTTTAGAGTAAGTAAGCACCATCTCCTCTCGTTGTCCCATTGGTAATTTGATTCCACAATTTTTTTGTTCTATACTACTTGATGGCTATGCTTTGTATTTTATGTGCAAACGAAAAAAAGATAGATAGGCAACAGCGGCGTCGGAACGAACTAAAATATAAATTGACTTTCGCTGTTTAGTGCTACAACGAATGAAGTCAAACTCGAACCAGGTGCAAATTTAATTGTATATATATATATATATGTATGTGTGCGCATATCTATCTCTACACGCATAAGTGAGATTCGCACCAACACTAACCAAACAACTATAATAAAGTTGGAAAGAGAGCGAAAGAAAAAACCTCAAAAGAAACACATAAATTAAAGAGATTGTTCTAAATAAAAGAAAGAGAGAAAGAATAAGAAAAAAAAGCTCATTAATATTATCTCGATAACAATATCGAAGTACATAGACGAAAATAGAAAAGAAAAAAGAATAATAATGATAGTGTTTATGCAAATATTTAAAAAAAATTCATTGCTACTATGGTTGCTGTCGCTTTGGATAATTTATGCTAAACGCACAGCAAGTGACAAAAAAAAAAGGAAAAAAAAAAGGAAAAGACTCTCTATCACATACAAACAAAGACAAGAATGAAAAAAAAAGAATATTCACAATTATGAACAATCGACACTATCTTTTCTTTTTCGCGTCTATTCTATCTACTTGTCTTG